TAAGTTTCTTAAGTTATTAAGGTTAAACATTAACCCTTTTATCCGCAACATGGTTTGCGTGTTTGGTCTATAGTATGTTAATTTTATTTCATTTGCTAACGACTTCTACATTGGTTATAATAAATAGATTCAACTATTCAAATACATGCCATATTACTTACAATATAAAATAATACAAAAGTAAACACTATATGCATTAATAATCACTTTTAACAAAACTGTACAATTGAGATTCTAGAAGAAAGTTAAAAACAATTTATGTAGTATAGGAGGACTAGACAAAGCAATGCCAGGCTCACACAAAAGTTAATCTAAAATGTAAGTATGTAATATCTATGTATATTCCAAACGTATATAATATCTATATTCCAAACATTTAAATCTATTATAGCGTGAAAATAAATATAAATAAATACATTGGTACATTAACGCACAGCGCCATCTATTTCCATCGTAAGCTACGAGGCTTGTGTTATATAGATACCAGATAGTTGTTACACTACACATATATAACTTTAAATGCATACATATTATAAATATAAACACCCATGCCTGGAGCACAAACATTCGTGCTCATCATACAAAAGAATGCCCCCAGCGGGACTCGATCCCGCGACCATTGGCACATCAAGTAGGGTCACTACAAACTGAGCCAAACGTGTCGTCATCGAACACACTTATACATATATCGATTCACATCTTTAAATAATTGACATTTAATAATATTTCTGTTAATTTATCATTATTAAAACCATTACAAAACGTACCGGCTTCTTTTTTACGACGTATCCCTAAACGCATTCGCTAGCGAGTATATCTTAAGTGTTATCTAATGGTAGCGTTGATTATATAGAAACGGGATAGAGTACATCATTATCTTAGAATAATAATGAGATGCCTTTGACGCGGATGCTGTTAAAGGGAAACTTACTCGTATAATAGCTGGTTTACGTTTAAGTATTGTAAAAGTAGATTTATCTACTTCCTTGTCTATACATATATGTATATGAATATTGACTAATATTAGAAATATGTTAGTGTGTTTGTTTATCACGTTCATGTATTATAGGAGTAACGGTTAGAGAGTAATACTAACTTTATCCCACCAGTATTACATTTTTTGTCTTGAAAAAGGAAATAGGTATATACTCAATTGAGTTTTTTCTATTCCTTTTTCTTTTTTCTCTCTTAATCACTTTTTTTAATAAGTAGGTTATATCTGAAAGGTAGTTCGATATATTATAAGTTTAAAAAGTACACTGCTTTGGGTGTAGTAAATACTCGTTTAAAGTTATTTTGACGTCAGGTGTACTTAAATTAAGTTGCAGTGTAAGATTCAGTGTTGTAGGTCTTATGCCCGATTTCACCAACGTCATCTAAGTTTAAGGGATCCCCTAAGCATGTTTAGGGGGCTGTTAGGGGACAGTTTCTGTTTCACCGACAGTAAGGAGTCACCTAAATATTAAAAGGCTCCCTAAATTTAGGGGCTCGAAATATGGGCTTAAAGACGATCGTAAAACGAAATTTAATTTAGGGGCTAGTTTAGGGGACTTCTAAGCTAGGGACCCCATACGTAGGTGGTAGCTTATGGGTTGTTGGTGAAATCAGGCATTAGAATATTTACTAGTTAATCTCCATCTTAATCTTCTCCATTCTACGTGACATTGGCGAAGTTAAAACTGCCTGTCACGCCTAAAAGCCACAAGACAAAAAATAGAAATAATAATATCATTCAACAGTTACATAATAATACTAGCGACTCACCCTCGTTCGCTCGGTTTCGTCCCTAGGTACGTTTTTAAGGTTAGTATGAAATAAAAATCTTTGAATTTCTCGGCTTTTCTGTACCTTCCTCTTGAATCACTCTATCTATTGCTGAAAACTGCATTAAAATCCGTTGAGTAGTTTACAAGATCTAAGCGAACAGACAGCCGAAGCGACTTCATTTTATACTATGTAAAGATGTAGATTAATGTACGAGTATCAATACATTTTCTTCCAATGCAAATTTTTTTTCTAATACTTTTTGTATGGAATTTTTAAGGTCTTCATCTAATCTTACTCACTCTCAGTTTTCCGATTTTTATCACATACTTAAATTATAGGTTGTACTTTCATATTTTTAAACTTTATGAAAACATTTTAACTGCGATATAAACTGTGTAAAATTGTTTTATGATCAAACGACTAGAGGGCTTGTCATAAATATAAGCACCAAGTTTGTAACATTACTCGTAATCGTTATAGTTTATTACACTGTTGTATATAGAAGTAATAAAGTATACGAGTTTGTCTGTGTAGAGAACTTAAAAATTGTGAGTCTTATTGTTTTAGACATCTAAACAGCACTGAGGTAAGTAATTAAGGGTTTAAAATAAAATAATATAGTATTATAAAGTATTTCTGTGCTATTTCTCTTTTTGGTTCAAATTATACAAGACGCATTCAAGGGTCAAGATAGAAGCGGTAAAAAACCCATAAGTGCATTTTTTTGGGGCTTGAATGGGACTACCCTTCTCTTTCACTATCCTACTCATTATAAGTATCTAATATTTGAACCGGTTTATCGGTTTATGGTATCGAGAAAGATGTGCGTAGCATACACAAATCAATATGTAGGGAAGGTACACGATTTATAGACAAGTTTCTTTTTAAAGTCGTTTTAAAGAAAATGAACCGAGCAATCTCTTTCGTGTCTTCATTATTCTATGTAGGTATGTGACATTCGCAAAGTAATCTGTACTCAACTGGCACGCTTTGAATGGCTTCAACAATAAGAAAATTAAATTGTTTTTAAGAAAATCAGGGTTTTGATCGTTCAAATGATTTTTAATTATGGGCAAATAATGCTGTAAAAATATAAGCGCAGTTAACTTTAACAGCCTGACTTTAAATACTCAAGTCTTACGGCCGATTTCACCAACGTCGCCTAAGTTTAAGGGATCCCCTAAGCATGGTTAGGGGGCTGTTAGGGGACAGTTTTGGTTTCACCGACAGTTAGGGGTCACTTAAATGTTAAAATGCCACCTAAATATAGGTACTAGAAATGCGGGCCCTGATAATGGTAAAATGAAATTTAATTTAGGGGCTAGTTTAGGGGAACTTTTAAGCTAGGGATCCCATACGTAGGTGGTAGCTTATGGGATGTTGGTGAAATTAGGCATTAATCTTACTAAACTCTATAACTTAGAATGTGAAATGATCAGGAAAGTCACGAAAAAAAAATTCCATTGGCATACTAACATTTACTAAAGACCGATTAAGATTTTTTATTTAAACTAGGTTCTAAAAGCGCGCTACAGTTATGGAATAAACAAAGCGAATTGCTAGTTTCGTGTAAAATAGGTACACATGTCCCAATTAAAATAATAATATAAATTTGATCAAATAGAGAGAGATTGTTTTCCAATAAGGTCAGAATACGTAAAGGGCTTATTACAAATTCTCAATGTAATTTGATATTCACCGCGAGCCACACCAGACAATCCAATATGCCGTTAAATTATACATTCAAACATCTGGTTGTATAACAGCGCCCCTATTAAATATATATTGGAGGTCACTAGTTTGAATCCTGTTTGGGGTAAATGAATGTGGGCAAAGAATTATGTAATAGTTAGAAATACATACAATTATGATATTTCTAAAATTTTATTTTTTTTATTTGTTAATCATTTATACTTACTAATAAACCTACGAATAATAATTAAATGATTAATAATTAAAAATATTACATTTCTATTGCTTTATTTTACTAAGTCTATGGTTCATGCTGCGCATCAAAAAAGATGTCTTAATCGGACCAATCAGTGACCGTTTCACAATTTGTTATCTATTGAAACTGTCAAAATTTCATTGATTGACAATATCACTGAATGTGCTTAGGGAAATAATAATTAACCTAGAATTTCGACGTGATATTGTTCTAAAAAAAGGATCTGCGATTGACAATACTCCAGGTAATTATAATTTTACTAGTAAAATTTAAATTTAACTAATTTTACAATTTCCCTGCGACATCATACATAACAGTAACTGATCGCTGCCTCTACGTGTAAGATATTTGAGGAAAATTATTATTGGGGTCTATTAACTCAATAAAAGCGAAAACAATCATTTTTAGAATTTTTGTCTGTTTGTCTGTGCGTTTGTGCGCGATTATCGCAAAAACGGTCTAACCAACTTTAGTGCGGTTTTCTCTAATGTATTGTGGATCAAGTTTCACTTAACATTTAGTGTTTGTTTTATTTCAATCAGTTAATAAATAACAAAGTTATTTCAATTTAAAGAATGATTCAGGGACGAGCCGAGCGAGTATACTTGTATAAATAAGTCGTAATTAAATTTAAAGATGCGTTAAGAATAAAAAGATCATTATATTATTATTATAAGTAACACATTCATGTTATTGTATTAAATAAAACTATTTTTTCGGATTATTTCGCGGATTTATTTTGATTTTTGGTTTCAGACGTCTGGAACACTTTACAGCAATCGTGGTCACTGGAGGGATCAAGTATCAAATGATGTGATGTGTCACTTATACTTACTTTTACTTAGCAATCATTACCTTATATATTATTTTATTAAGCTTTCGCTTTTTTACGATGCGTGTTTATGATTAATTAACTGTTGGTATTAATTAAGGGGATCAAAAAATGTTACCACCCTTACCCCTGAGGGAGATAATTTGTAGCTTTTTCCATTATATTTTTCTTCATTATAACAAAAAACCATGAGACGTATTTGTTATTTAATTAATTATCATCAAAATAAACAAATACATTATTTTGTAGTTTTAAGTAAATATTTTATTAATAAGTATTTCCTGTGTTTGTAATTAAAAAATAAATTATTTTGAATATTTCTATCATTATTTAAAAAACATTGTTAAAATAAAGCACTAAATGAGAAATTTATAAACAATTTATTTTAAGATTCAGTCATTTGAAATATGTGGTTTTCAGTTCTAGTGTACATTTTGTTTAATAGTGCGTAAAATGGCATTTAGTAGATTATATTTTATAACTACTGGGTTACCCTTGCCCCGCTCAGGTGTGCGAGGAGGCGATTTTTTCAGACATATTTACATTGTCGTCCTACTTCTGGGCACGCCTCCCTTCAATGCGATGGGGATCAGGTTGGCCAAGTGCGGGTTGACGGACTTCACATGTCTTTCAAAGGTTTCCTCACGATGTTTTACTTCTCTGTACGACAAGAGCTAATCATATTGGAAATGATTCGCACATGAAAATATCACAGGTGCAAGACTCGGGATTTGAACTCGCTTCAAATAATTTCCCAAGCGATCGCCTTACCACTGGGCTACCACTGCCTTTTCACAATTATCACCATAAAATATTTGGCAAATATAATCTTACGGGGATTACATTTGCAAAATATTTATCTTTATGAGTTAAAGCCTTAAACTTTCCTAAATAATCGCTATTTCTATTGGTGAAAACCGTATTAAAATCTATACAGTAGTTTCGGAGATTAGAACGAACAAACACAAAATCAACTTTAACAGAATGTTTTAAATTCAACTTTATTTGTTACAGCAACTATCGAGTCATTTCAAGCAGCGACAGACGGTGCGATAGAACTACCGTGTGATGTCACTCCCGCATTACATGGGGATAGCATGGGGCTCGTCATTTGGTATAAACAGGGACATGACGCACCCATATACACGTGAGTATTGACATTACCAAATCACTTTTTATCTAAAACCATTGATCAAAAAAGTACTTACTAGATACACAATCCCATGCAAAAGTTCTCTTAAAACTCACCAATTGTGTTTAGATAATATTATTTTAGTTGAAATAAATAAACAACAATGTAAATCGAACTTTAAATGCAATGCTTAAACTTGTTTTTACTAAAAAAAAGCGCGCTCAAATGTCCAAATGAGTGCTCATTCGGTGACGACATTTTTCGTCGCCGATTGTGTATCTAGTACTTTTTGATTAACCCCCGACGCAAAAACAGGGGTGTTATAAGTTTGATGTCGATGTCTGTCTGTCTGTATGTGTGCGTGTGTCTGTCTGTGGCATCGTAGCTCTCAAACGGATGGACCGATTTCAATATGTTTTTTTTTCATTTGAAAGCCAGTTTGCTTGCGGTGATTCTTAGCTATGTTTGAATAATATCGGTCCAGCAGTGTAAGAGCATCACTCCATTCCATTCCATTCCATTCAAATGACAATTAATTTGCGTAGGCGGTTTTTTTTTTAATTTTTCATTTATAATTATAATTTACTTTAAATTCATTTTAAGTTTATTCGATGTCTAAAACCAAACTCAGATTCTTCAATCCACAGCTTCATAATGATTTACCTATTATACCTTCATAGTTATTTAACATTACGTTATTTAAAACTTCTTCTTCTTCTTCTCCCTGCCCATTTCCCAAATCACTTGGGGTCGGCGCAGTACATCTTCAGTGTACTGCTGATAGGATTTGGCAAAAGTTTTACGACCGGCCGCCTGCCTGACGTCAACCCTCCTTGGGAATGCTATTGTCTTTCTTTGTTTGAATGGTGTTAAATATTATGCACTTTCGATTTTGTTGTGTTTTAAAACATTTTTTATACTATTAATTCAATTATTAATGTTATTTTTGGATATATTTTAAAATAAATTTCGATTACACAATAAATTTTGTATTGACGTTGTCAATTTTTTTATATAAAACTACCCATTTTAAAATAAATTAAATGAGTACTAGGTAAATAACTGAAAACGATAATGGCTTTACGATCGATACCTATCGCACTGTAACTTACTGTTTCCGTATAAGTGACTTTTTTATGGGAATAAAATTACTTCAAACTTTACTTTAAGAGGATTGTGAAGCTGTAAATTTTCATACAAAAAGCGATAACGTTTTTCCCCCCTTAAACATAGTCTAATTTTCATAATTTTTGGAAATGTTGTAGATATAATCAAAATCTAGGTCCGTACGTTTTTATTTTTTAGAAATATTGCGTACGACAGAAGTTATTAGCATCTAAATATCTATATTTTTGACCTAAAAACTTCCTCCAGCGTTTTTATTTTTTTAAATTAAACTAAACTGAATTACAAAAAAAGGAAAACGTACAGACCTAGATTAAGGTGTACTGAATCTAATGAGACCAAAATCGTCTCATTTCGTTAATGTTTAGGGGGGTGAAAACGTTATCGCCCGAAACAATATTTCAAAAAGGAAATGTAGGTAATTGAGTCTAAGACTTGCAACTCTCTCTATCGCACCATACGGGTCGGGGGCAGGGGCATATTGTAGACTGTAGTGATGTTGAAGGTGCTATCGATATTATTATCTCCTAGGGAGGAGAAGGTAATATCGATATATCGATCGATACTGAAAGGATTCAATCCAAAGTTTAGAATTTTATTATACTCGTATGTATAGATTGTAACTAAGCCGTATCTGTACATTAAATATTTTTTTGGAAATTATTATTGAAATAAACATTATTATCGATACAGAGGCCGAATCTATAGTTTTTTGAATTTTTGTCTGTCTGTCTGTTACCACGTCACAGAAAAACCACTGGAGGGATTTTGATGAAATTTGGTATGGTGGTAGCTGGTTATCCGGATCAACATATTATAGGATTACCGCGGGAAAATATCTCATTTCTGAGAAAAAATACAAAACTGAAAATATATATATATATATATATATATATATATATATATATACACACAGGGTCATTTTTAATTTACTGAAGACCTTTTGGGAATATACTATTTACATCTCAGCAACCTCTGTAACAAGAAAAAAATATATTTCTTAAATTTTCATTTTCATACAAAAATAAAAATATTTTCTATATCATCATCATCATTATAACTGGCCAAGTTTGAATGAGTAAGGACCACTTCCTACACCCCTCCACCCCTCGCCCTCCACCGGTCACGCGCTTTCTTTTGCTAATTGCTGGACTATTACCGTTTAGAAGGAGCAATAAAAATACTTTTATTTTTGTAAAATTTATATTTTTAATTCTATATTCGTTATAATTTATAATATTCGTTCTTATAAAGGGTATATTTCATAGTACGAGTATATTTATTGTAACTGCCTCGGTGGTGTAGTGGCTAGCATGTACGGCTGCACACCCGGAGGTCCTGGGTTCGAGTCCCGGGTCGGGCCAAGTTTAGTTATTGAGTCTTTCTGTATAGTAAGTCTCAGTAACAGCCCGGAGTTGGGAAGTTGGCGGTGTTTCACCCCCGTGCCTTGGAGAGCACGTAAAGCCGTCGGTCCTGCGCCTTAACTCTCACCGGTCGTGTCGAGTGGTCATCCCACCGGAATATGAGAGTGATAGGAATAGAGAGTGCACTTGTGTCTGCGCGTACACTTGAGCACTATAATATCTCCTGCGCAGTTGGCTAATCTCATTGAGATTGGCCGCCGTGGCCGGAATCGGCTAGGAGAACATCATCATCATATATATATATACACATACTATTCGTTATATTTTTTTCGAATTTATCGATATTTTATTAGTTTTTGGAGTTAATTTTATTGATTTTTCTGAAAAAAATGATTTTAGATATGTTAAAAAATCGTAAATCATCATCATTCATGATCAGGTCATTTTATGAATTTCTATTCCTTATATACCTGCTAACATTATAAAATCATAAAACTTCAGGTTTTCAATAAAAAAAATATTTTAAAAATAAAAGGATTCCGATGGGTCTATTAGTACATAAACAACAAAAAATTCTAAAACTTTCAACTTTTGGAACGAGATTTTTGTAATTGATCTAAACCACCTATTTATTTTTTTTATGATTTTTTGAAGTCATCAATCTAAACAAGTCAAATTTTAAATGATATTCGCCACAGAATTGTAATTTAGTTATTTCAGTTTATGAATAAAGGTGCGATGTAACTTGTAGGGAATGTATATTGTACGCAAACCGTTAAAATAATAAATATTAGATAAACTTTGAAATTGCTCTTGCGCCGAGTCGCGCCGCCCCCGCCCCCGCCCCCCGCAAGCGCCCGCGCGTCACCGGCTGCTGCTATCATAGTGTGTGTGAGAATTTGCGTATGTTGTATTTGTGTTGTTCACTGCCGGGGGGATGCAAAGCGGTATGAAACAGATAGCATTTTTAAAAATACCTACTCTCGCCGCGTATCGGCACTTCACAATCCTCTTAACTTGAAAAATAATTAAATAAAACAGTAACTACCCAATAAAATTAACAATATAGTGGGAAATGTCATACTCGTAGTAGGTAGGTAGGCAAAAGCGAAAGTTTTTTATATACGAATATGTATGTTTGTATGTATATTAGTTACACCTTCACTTTGAAACGGGTGGACCGATTGAAATAAAATTGAGTCAAATGTTTTTATCATATATAATAAAATTATCTATACATATAATAAAAGTGTGTGACTGATCACTATCTGTAAATGTAAGATATTTGAGAAAAACTATTATTGGGAGTCTTTATTGACGCAATAGAACCCAAAACAGTGATGTTTAAAAATTTTGTCTGTTTGTCTGCTGCTGTTTGTGCGCGCTAATCTCAGAAACGGCTTAACCGATTTGGGTGCGGTTTTCACTTATATATTGTGGTAAACTTCACTTTTCATTTAGTGTTTATTTTATTTCAATCGGTTCATTAATAGAAAATTTATGTCAATTTAAAGAACCACCTAGGGACAAATCCTGACCTGAGTCGCAAGTTATAAAACATATGTACAAAAGCCATCTAGGTGCGAGTATAAATCGCCAGTAAACCTATAGGTATTCAAAAAGTACTAGTTGGTACTCTGAGGTACATTATATGAACAAAACTGCTAGAATAATACAATAAATTGTCTATTGGGCCAGATGTAGTAGATCAGATACGTCTGGAACAGACATGTATAGCTTCGAAATAGAAGAACTAAGTGAGGTGACAATCTTATATCTATTACTAGTTTTGCCCGTGACTCCTCTCACGTGGTAAGTTCATGCGTCGATTATAGCAGCCTATACGTATTTCTAGGATATATATATAAGCTATCTTTATTCCAAACTAGCGACTTACCCTCCCTTGGCTCGGGTTCGACCCTATCTTGATTCCAAATATAAACTTTCATCCCCATTTTCACCCTCTTAAGGGATGATTTCCGGGATAAAAAGTATCCTATGTCCTTCCCAGGGTCTCAAACTATCTTCTTACTAAATTTAATCTAAATCGGTTCAGTAGATCCTGAGATTACCCCCTACAACGACACAAAGTCACAAAATTTACCTCTTTATAATATTAGTATAGATTTCATACAAATCTATTCAGCCCTTACACCGAGCAGCAGTAACAAACAAACACACTACAAAATTTCGAATTCATAATATCTTTTTTTAATATTGAATGAGCATTTCTTTTAATATATGTATGTACCTATAATTAACTTCGTGTATCTCGCAAACGGCTCTAACGATTTGGATTGTATTTAGATAGGGTTTGGCTTTATAAGTTTATCTATGTACGAGAAGAGTTTTTTCTGATAAAACTCGATTTTACAAAATGAAACCCCGAGCGAATCTGGGTCACCGAGATACTAAGTGTTGTTATGTAAAATACAAGAGAAAATGTACCTAAGCAGTACTTAAATAACTTTTACTACTGCGTTACAGAGAGATTAACGGGGAAGAAATTTTTTTACGATCTATTAATGTCAATTAGAGTGTTAGTGGTGAGAGAGCCATTATACAGTTATATTGTAAAAGTGTATAATAACTGCTACAGCTTACAGTGTTGCCTACATTATGTTAGGACTGTAATTAGTTCTAAAATTTTCCAACCTTTACTGCGTTATTATTTTTTATAGCTACTTTGTTAATAATTATATATAATATAATAATCTAGTTCCATGGTATGCTACGAAGGCTTGTGTTATGGATACCGGATAGTTGATACACTACACATATATAATTTTAAATACATACATATCATAAATTTATCGTCACCCATGACTGAAGTACAAACATTCGTGCTCATCACACAAATGAATGCTCGCATCGGAGTCGAACCCGCAACCGCTGGCCCAGCAAGTAGAGTCAAACGTCTCGTCAATTAATTTTTACTGACTTTAAAAGAAGAGGTATTTTGAGTGTATATTTTTTGTGTGTAAGTTGTGATTATGATTTTTTGAATGAATAAGTTGTATTTGAAAGGGTTCAGCCAAACAAATTTCGAAAAAGGTTTCTTTTAAGAGATTATTTTCAGCCATCGTCGTCTCTTCTTTTATCTTTAAGATATACTTTATATTTTTCTCTTTCTTTATATTTTTTTGGAACTCGCCAAAGGCCTTACAGTGTATGATCTTTTACACTGTTCCAACTGTCAATATAAAATTGAAACACGTGGATTTTTCAATTAAAAAACAGTTTTTTTTACTAAAAGACAGAATTTTTCATGAAATTTTATATTATGCTTGTCATGTTTTTTACTGATCATCCTTGCCTGTAACTTCACCCGCATATATAGATCAGCAAAAATATTCTTCCTCCTATACTAATCTATACCTACATATTATAAAATTGTAACTAAGCCGAATCTGTACATGAAATATTTTTTGAAAAATCTTATTGAAATAAACATTATTATCGATACAGAGGCCGAATCTATAGTTTTTAGAATTTTTGTCTGTCTGTCTGTCTGTTACCGCATCACAGAAAATCCACTGGAGGGATTTTGATGAAATTTGGTATGGTGATAGCTGGTTATCCGGGTCAACATATAGGATACTTTTTACCGCGGGAAAATGTCCCATTTCTGAGAAAAAAATACAAAAATTGCAATGTACTCGTAAGAGTATACTAATATGTAAAACGTAAGAATTTCTTTTTGGTCATCTTAACGCGCTCGGAGCCGCGGGCAATGCTAGTTAATAAATATAATGACTTGGCCATCACATATACAAATTTTACCATTTATAATAATAATAGGCCGATATTACTCGTGGAGGCGCTAGTCTTAGCAAGATTGGCAGTTGACAGCGAAATACGGTTTCTAAAACACCTGAGTACTTTTGCATGTAGATAGCATATCTCATATCATTATAGGTATCGCTTTCAATAAAATGATTTATATTATGATTGTTTGCGAATTGCATCATACGTTTGTGGCTTATTTGTAATTTTACACCATACCACAACTTCGTAGCAAGGGACTACTGTAACGAGTTAATACAACGTTTCATTTTAACATTTTTAATATTTGTTTGACAGTTATTTCTACCTTTATACTTAGTTATATACCTATTTGTTATAGTGTATTTTGTCCTAGCTACTATGTTAATAAAAGGAATTCCATTTTAACCTATTACTAATTGTGTTTTCTATCTATATCTAATATCTATACATATAATAAAAGTGTAACTGATAGCTGTCTGTACATGGAAGATGTATTTGAGAACTATTATCGGGGGACTTTATTAACGCAATAGAACCCAAAACAATGATTTTTAGACTTTTTGTCTGTTTGTGTTTGCGTTTGTGCGTGCTAATCTCAGAAACGGCTTAACCGATTTGGGTGCGGTTTTCACTACTGAATTGTGGTATGATTCATTTAACATTTAGTATTTGTTTTATTTCAATCGGTAGTACTTTTTCTACTTTCTAAACATGTAAAAAGTGTGTGATATTAATGATAGTACATTTTTTTTAACAAAAATTCATTTGATATCATAGAAATAATTATGGAGCCAAGAGACGGATAGAGGAACTTTTCTAGGAGCCGTGAGCGTGGTTATTATTTACTAGCGACTTAAAATCAGTCCAGCCGTTTCGGACATTATCCTAAACAAACAGACAGACAAATATTTTAAAAAATGTGTTTTTCTTATAAGTACCGTATATATGTACATTCATATTAATATTATAAATGTAATATTATAAAGAGGTAAAGTTTGTGAGTTTATGAGATTGTGAGTTTGCGACTTTGTAGGGGGTAATCTCTGGATTTACTAAACCAATTTAGATGAAATTTGGTAAAAAGATAGTTTGAGACCCTGGGAATGACATAGGATACTTTTTATCCCGGAAATTATCCCTGAAAGGGGTGAACATGGGGATGAAAGTTTGTATGGGGAAGCAAGCTAGGAACGAACCCGAGCGAAGCGAGGGTGAGTCGCTAGTATTTAATAAAAAGCTATTATTTTGACGTTACAAACAAACACTTCAATTTTATTTATCTGTATTGATTAGACGCTTAGAAACATTAATTTGTTTCAAGCATACCCAGTTGTAAAATGCAATACATGTGACTCGGCAAAACAAATCGAATGAGTCCAACTAGAAACTTTCCCTATTATAATAATAGCATGAGATATGAATCTATAATAGTTAATTTGGTTTACAGATTCGATATAAGGGATGGAGTGACGTCACACTGGTCGGACCCTTCTACATTGGCCACCCGAGCGACTTTCCGTCCACACACTACGCCAGCTGTACTACTTATAACTAAGCTTAGGTTACGATTTATAGATACTTATGTTTTTTTTTTCAGGTACTATTAATAATAATTTATCTTATTTGTTTGGAAGGAGGGAAGTTACGGGGGAAGGGGGGGACTTCCGTTCCATTAATGTTAAGTATGAGGTGCCGGACTTCACACGTCTTTTCATGGCAGCGCAGTGGTAACGCGGGAAACCAAGTGTTCAACCGGATTCAAACCCCGAGTCTCGCACGTCCGAAATTTTCATTCTTATCATGCTTACCACAGTGTGGAATGTTCAAAAGGCCTAAATTATTATTTAATATATTATATGATAATGTAATACAGGGTTATTTAGTATTCACAAATAGCTAAGTTTAAGTTATTATTAGCTATGTGTATTTCCGTTCGTGTATTACTGATAACTGTTACTTATCTTTCACTGCTTGATAATATAAGATTCTAAAAAAATATAAATAATATAACAAAGATAAGTTATCTTATCATATTTACGAATTGTAAATATTATTAAATTTATACGATTGGGTGATAAGATTCATTCAAAATATTTTTACATTTAATACTAGCGACTTACCTCGCTCCGCTCAGGTGCGTTTTTTTTGAGTGTAACCCTAATTCTTTTTCTAAAATAAAAATAACCTAAGTTACAATCAGTTTTATAACATCTCCTTATAACATCGGCTATCTGCCAATGAAAGTCCCGTCAAAATCGGTCCAGCCGTTTCGGAGATTAGCCGAAACAAACAGACAAACAGACAGACTAGCCTATTTAAAGATAATATCTAATAAGCTATTATTGCTTTTCGAATTACACTAGAATCCGATGGAGTTATTCCCTTCTGCAAGAATTAGTAACAAATACACGTACTTACTAACTTTTTGTTGGTCTAGTGGTTAGCATGTACACCTGCAGATCTGATGGTTCCGGGTTCGAGTCCCAGGTGGGGCCAAATATGGTTATTTGGTTTTTTCTTAAAACATTATCATTAACAGACAGGATTTGTGTGAAATTATACATGTTTATAGAAGTTATATTTTTTAGGCCAGAAGATAGCGGACAATACAGATGCAGAGTGGACTTCATCAGATCACCTACTAAGAATACGAGACTGAATCTAACTATACTTAGTAAGTATTCCTTGAAAAAAAATATCGCTAAAATACTGTTAAAATTAAAATGGTCTAGCCAAATTTTTCGCCCAAAGAATCGGCATTGCCATTCAGCGAACGAATGCGGCGAGCATTCTCGCCACAATTCCTCGTGGACATGACTTGTACAGTAAATAATTAAGTGTAAATTTGTTTTGTACATATAATTAAGTATATTAGTAATTTTCTTTATTGTGTATATACTCGTAATAAGCTATAAACTTTTATATACCATAGTTTTGCAATTTTGTATGTTTGCACAAACTAATATAATCTTGTATCAACGTCAGAAGTCATCTGATCGAATTATGATTAAAGTTCAAAAGTCATGAAAGTCGATTTTTCTCTAACTTATTCCCTTCCCTCAAAATGAGATTTGAAGTCATTACAAAAGTTTTATGAGCATCAAATTCTCTACTAATAATACTTTCTTAGATTTACGCGAATATTTGACATTTTAAATAAAACTCTCTTTTGGGATTTTTTCGCGGATTTATTTTGATTTTTGGTTCCCAACAATCAATAGTTCTCTACAAATGTCAAAAGAAAGCTACGAGTACAACTACAGCTATATATAAATTAATGGCTAATACAATAAATACTAAGTAATAAAAAAAGGTATTTCCTTTTATTTGGTGTTTTTTTTTTATTTCACTTTTGTAGTTTATATATTAGGAAAATTAATTCTCAACGTCAGTAATATTTATGTACATATGTATTAAAAATAATTTACTAAAATTTAGTACATTGTGATTTGTCAACCCAAGTAGGGTTGTCTATTCTTAAAAACGAAAAGCACGTTCAGGGATTCCCATAATAAATAATAATTGAGTCGTAATGTTTATGTAAGCATAAGAGGGAGGAGTAAGAGCATAAAGGGGAGGGAGGGGTTAATAATTACTAAAATTCTGCTTGCGTAATACTAGGTTCTCGAATCGGCTATTTTTGTTTGTTTGTATGTTACACGATATCTTTATAAATTCTGAAAAGGTTTTGACATTAGAAATTAAATAAAATGTCCACTAATAAGTGGGAAATAGCAACTTTTTAAGCTTATTTTAAAAGTTATTTAACTTTTTATGTCAAATTAAATTACTATGATTATTCTAATAAAAATATATTTTCAAAGTACCTCCCGAACGTTTGGTGATATTGGACCAAACTGGCGAGGAGATAGCAGGGAGCGCGCTGGGACCATACGACGAAGGCACTGAAGTCAATATTACTTGTATAGCTGTAGGCGGTGAGTATTATAGTATTCTAAAATATACTTTATTCTATTATATTTTACATGTTTGGATTATCAATTTAATTTTATATGTTATTCATGTTAAATGAAACTACGAATGGCTCGAAGAGATGGCAAGAATCTCGATTTACATATATTTTTCTTACATCTTACTTGTGTTCTTATATTATTATAAAAAAGTTGTAACATCGAATTAACAATACGTATATACAGAAGCTTATAAAGCAATTACTATATTGCCATATTATATATGTACCTATACAAAATTTCATCCCCTAAAAGTCCTTCTTTTGTCACCCACCCTGAAGGTTTAAGCTGTTAGTTGAATTTTCTTATGAAATTTACGTATGTATAAGGTATACGTATAACCGATTTATTTAAAAAAAACATAAAGTCGACCATTGGCAAAGTCATTGCGTCAAACACACAAAGAAACAGGCATTCTAAATGTTGTAAACACTTACGATTTTTTGAAGTCGGTCAAATAGCCCATACACTGACCTCCATAATTTATATCTAAGTAACAAAATTAATTTCACTATTTCCATCATAAGTCACATTAGTTTTGCCCTATTTTATTAAATTCGGAGGCCATTTTCTCTAAAAACAAACCCTAGAGAATCTGAAACCGAGCGTCAAAACATAAACTTTAATAGGGGTGCGGATCGAGCGGGCTTAGATAATGGGTCTCTTGTTGAAGTAAAGAAGCTTGTACATGTACATTTTCTAACCATTACAGTGTTAAGGTTGGGTTGAAAAACTAATGAAATGTAGCTCAGTTGTGTTGCGTGTTTTTCATTAACATACTCGTAGTGTTATAGACAACGTCAAAACAAAAATGTGTTCAAAATTTATTTCAAAACTAGCGACTCACCCTCGCTTCGCTCGGGTTCGTCCTTAGGTACGTTTTAATTTTTTTGAGCGGAATCCTAATTCTTTTTCTAAAATAAAAGTAGCCTATGTTACTCCGTATAACATTAGCTATCTTCCAGTGAAAGTCTCTTCAAAATCATTCCAGCCATTCCAGAGATTATCTGGAACAAACAGACAGACAAAAATTTTAAAAATTGTGTTTTTCTCATAAGTACCGTATATAATTTCATATGCATTTATAATTTAGTAAAACGCTGTTATTTTGACATTATAAACAGACACTTCAATTTTATTTATCTGTAAAGATTATATATATATATATATATATATATATATATATATATATATATATAATATATTTAAAAAAACTTTGAATAATACTATAAAAAATCTTTTAAAAGTAAACAATATGGAACATTAGGTATGTTAAATATAATAAGTACATTTAAAAACTCTCCAAGTGTTAAGTCACATCTAACCTCAAGCAATTGACTGTGCAAATGAAAGTGGTAAAAAAATGACTGGCATTTAATAGTTTTATCTAACTTTATATTAGACTAACGACTCACCCTCGCTCCGTTCAGGTTCGTCCTCAGTTACGTTTTAACGTTTAGTAGAGATTTCTCAAAGATGAGATATTTTCCCGCAGTAAAAATTCAAAATCTGTCCAGTGGTTTTCTCGTGATGCCTTCGCAGACAGACAGACAGACAACAATTCTAAAAACTAGATTCGGCCTCTGTATCGATAATAATGACTATTTCAATAAAAATTTCCAAAAAATATTTCATTTACAGATTCGACTCAGAATTTTATTACTTAATTTTATTATATGTATGTTATTATTTGTAATGATACATTAAAAATATAACTTAAGTTTTTTATTATAGGTCGACCTCCAGCCAGAGTGTCATGGTGGAAGGCGCACGCGCTTCTTGCAAACTCTGAAGCACGTGCTACTGTGTCATTAACATTACAACGCGTGGACTTAGCTACGATCGTCACTTGCCAGGTAATATGTTCATAAACTTATTTTTCTTCTTCGATGTGAATATACGGAATATATATATTGTTAGCGGAGAATGCTCAAGAATAGATAGATAAAAATATATTTTTTTAATTCCTTGAACTTGGCAACACCAACTAAGCCATTATAATTAAAGAAGGCAAAAATTCCTAATGGGTAATGCCTTCCTCTGCCACTGTCATTCTTACATCACATCTGTTCATAGTCAAGAAGACTGCAAGATCAAGAATTTTTTTTTTAAGATCAAGATATTTTTTTATAAACGTATTAATGAGAGCAAAAATAATATTAGGTACATGTATAGATATTAATATATAAAAAATGTCATTATTATTAAAAAAAACTTTTAGATTATCAATTTTCAAACTGTAATATTTTTATTTACATTTTTAATAACTTAGCAAAATTATTTTCAATATCTCATAGCTTTTTCGTCAAACCTATAGTTAAATTTTAGTAGAGATTAGTCCTCTACTTAAATCCTATTCGAACCTCGCGAGACCTATTATACATTTTACGATACAAAAATGGAGTGTTTCACAATATACTGACATCCCGTGGGAATAACTTACCGTATAAAACCGGGATAAAAACGCGACACGCCCTTTAGTCATATGCAATATTTAGTATACAGGAATAGGAAAAACTGCATTTAATATTTATATTATTATAGATAAAAATATAATTATTATCTGCTGGGCACTGGCCTCCCCTCAAAGCCAGAGGGGGTTCCGACCATAGTCCATCACGCTAGTCAAATGTGGGTTGGCGGATTTTCCGAGTTTTTTGCTTACCGTTGACAAAAAAATACTAGATCTCTCAGACATGCTGGTTTCATAACGTTTTCCGTCACCGTAAGAAAAATGGTAGTTATGTTGAGAATTATTCGAACATGAAAATATGTAGGTAGATTGCTATATACCTACACTTTTTTATAAAATCTCAAAACATTTTTTTATTAATTCAGCCGACTTTTTAAGTTATTTAAATTTAAGAACGTTAAAATGACAAGGCTTTGTTTTAGCATTATCATTTTCTTTTTAAAACTTTCTAAAGAAAAAAAATTTGTTACTTACTCTTGCTTATTTATTTTATACAGAATTTTTATTTTATTTTTCACTAATGTCATTATGTAAAAGATAACAACTTAATAATATCCCATGGGAAATACTTGTATTTAATCCTTTGTTCATGTCAAAGGATTAAATTAAATTATGTCTATAATAGCACAATGTTATTTATATATTGGGTTTTGCGGGGTTGGGGAATTCGCGGGTTCGATTCCCACATGGGTTTTACAGTTCTATTTAAGGCATGATTACTTTAAAATCAAATAAATACACACAAATGTACATACCTATATTGTATTATTTCGCTAAATGTACCTGTATTCAAGTTAACGCTAAATCACTTCTATACTAGTCCAAAGGATTTATTTTGCTAACATAATAATCGTTTACCATTTTGGCAATCGTCACATCTTTACATGGTATAAAATGAAGTCGCTTCCGCTGTCTGTTCGCTTAGATTTTCTAAACTACTCAACGGATTTCAATGTAAATTTCAGCAATAGATAGAGTGATTCAAGAGGAAGATTTATATATGTATAATACATGCATATATAGTATAGAAGAACCGAGAAATTCAAAGACTTGTATTTCATACTAACCGTTAAAACGTACCTAGAGACGAACCCAAGCGAGGCGAGGGTGAGTCGCTAGTATACAGATAAATAAGGAACCTCTTTTTTTAGTAGTCGGTTAATAATGTTAAGATTTCTCATTCTTAAAGGAAAACATAATATCATTTCTTCTAAAAGATGTTTTTTTTTTGAAACAGGCCGTGACAGACCCTTCAATAACGCCACTATCGAAAACCCTGTCGATAGATGTCAACTGTAAGTTATCTTTTATGTAATATCCTACTATTTACGTCATTTTATTTAGTTATTAATGTTTTGATTCTTACGGAAATCGAACTCGCAACCTCTGACGTGTTAGAAATACTTACACAATTTTGTTATTATTCTGTGAAAGTCGTACATAAGAAATAGTATACTAAACTATGTATAAATGTCTATCTGATAACATCTAACGTTAAACATTATAATGCATAATAACAGGCATAAATAAACCTCCTGACCAATTTCAGCCACGGCGGCCAATCTCTCTAAGATTAGCTAACACAGGAGATGTTATAGTGCACAAGTGTACGCACAGACACAAGTGTACTCTCTATTCCTTTCACTCATAATCCGGTGGGACGATTACTTGATAACTGGTCGTACCAGTGAGAATTAAGGTGAAGGACCGACACGTGTTCTCCGAAGCACGAAGGTGAAACACCGCCAAATATCAACTCCGGGCTGTTACTGAGAATATCTTTACAGAAAAATTCTATAATTAAACTTGGTCCGACTCGGGGCTCGAATCTAGGACCTCCAAATCTGCAGCCGTACACGCTAACCACTAGACCATCGAGGCAGTTGCTTTGCTATACATATATAAATATAAAGAAGACTGTGTTTGTAGGTCTATATTGGTAATTTTTAAAAGTCAAGTCACTAAACTGATCACATTCACGCAGATAGCTTTGTATTCTGAGATGGAACTTTTTATATTATAGTACATTTTTTTTTGTAATATAAACTGTATATTTCGATGTAAATTGGCAACACTGTTGTCCGTTGTCATAGAATTAGCATAATTTATACACCGAATAACCAAAGAATTTTGATGAAAATAGAAGGAAGTCTTTTTAAAAATTCTAGTGATGTTTGTGTAACTCGAATTCATGAATTGCGAATGGAAAATTTTAAAGAAATTCATTTTCGTACGATACAGATTATTGCGTAATTTTTTTGTCAAAATTGCACGTTTTGTGTGAATCCATCCTTTTTAAAGACACTCAGATTTTTTCATAAGGGAATAATTATCTTAAAATTCTAGAAGATATGAACTAGTAGCGACTCTTCATATCTTCGCTTGAATGCCTCTTAAGTGTTTTTGTATCTATAATACCTATATCCAGTAAACTTCCTACTTCTTACTAATATTATAAATGCAAATATTGTGAGGATGTACGGATATCTGTATGTATAGATATATGGATGTTTATTACTCTTTCACTCAAAAACTACTGGATGGATTTTAATAAAACTTTACAATAATATAGCTTATAGATCAGAATAATATATAGGCTGCTTTTTATACCGGAAAAATGTAGGGTTCCCGTGATATTGATTTGTTTTGTTCATATTCAACCAATGGAAGTGGGAACCCTAAATCAATTCATTAGGAGCATTTCGTACACTAATATGATAACCGTATATCGGAAATGAGGCATGATCAGGCATATGACAAAATATCTCTTTATCTAAGAAATATCTACACTTGAAATATTACGGTTGTAGCGACCCCCTTATTTATTTATATTAACGTTTGAAAATGTATTAACACACTACTTGTTTAAGTGATGCATATATTATATGTATGTAGGTTATCCTAAGTACGTATTCTTAAATAAAACTTAATTTAATAAACTTAATTTTTATTAAGTTCTTAAATAAAACTCTCTCGTGACCATGATTTCTGCAAACATTTGAAACGTCGGGAACCAAAAATTAAAATAAATCCACGAAAAAATCCGTAAATATAGTTTTATTTAAAATATCAAATATTCGCGTAAATCTAAGAAAGTATTACATATATCCTATCCTGTTGGGGACACCTAATATACCGGTTTAAAAAGCTTTTATATCATATTTTCTAGTATTTAAACTATTTCTTAGATAAAAAAAACAATACAGGCTACAGGTTTCCCAAAACATCGAGTGGTTTCCTTGAAATTCATTCCCTACATAAAAAAAATACTTAAAGAGAGATCGCTCGGTACTCGCGCTTAGTGTTGCCCAAACGCAAGAACAAGACGAGACTTAGCCAGTCTTGGTCTTGGTCTTGCGCCAATACACCTGGTCTTGGTCTTGGTCTTGCGCTCCCAGTCTTGGTCTTGGTCTTGCAGCAAGAGTCTTGCAAGTCTTGCAATTACCTATTAGTCTATTACTATTTATTAAAGTTTACTTTAAATCCTAGAAAAACGTATTAGAATTGGAACATTGTGAGCTTGAATGAATATAGCCATAGTAAAGATCAAGCAGATTAATAAATAACTGAAGATTTGATAAGAAATTCGAAAAATCAACTGACCTATATGTCGTTTTCCATGGAAGTAACTGTTTCTTAATAAACATTTATGATTTATAAGCTTACATTTGCTAAAACAATTTTATCTTTATGCCCTAAGTGAAATAAATAATAAAGCGAACAAATAGTGATCGTAAGTATGTAATTCAAGGTCGGGATTGACAACGGGCGGCGACAACTCCTTTATAGGAGTATCCGCACTGGCGGTTAAAAATTCGCGCGGAAAAAAAATCTGTGATTTGATGCAAATTGAACGCGATGCGGCGCGGATTATTTCCGCGCGAAAGTTTTGTACAGTATATAATATGTATGGCTATGGCCGCACTGCGAAATAAAATTCGCGCGTTTCGCTCAGTCGTGCACCGACGCTATTGGTTTATCGAATGATTTTGTAGTCATTCTGTAATATCCGAAAAACTTTTTACTGTATTTTCGCAGCTCTTGATATTTAATGTAGAAAAACATCATTTTAGATTACTAAAATGTCTCAGTAGATATAGTAGATTTATCATTTTAGACGTTTGTCTCAGTCGGGAACTGCATCAAACTGACAAAAATCGTACGAAATTTTATTCGCAGTGCGTAATAAGTACAATTTCGATCACGGAATATAATACGCGAGAATAAAAATCGCGCGGTGAAATATCGCAGTGCGGACAGGCCCTTATTTTGCATGAGTATACCTACGCCCTATGGCGGCAATCAAATAGTGTCAAATGTTATGATTTCGGCGTGGCGGCAACGATTGTTTTAGATTTCAAAAGAAGCTGCCGGCGCGTGTATCATAACCATGTACTTCCGAAAAGCGGCAAATTTCTTTGAGAAGTAAGTACAAAACCTTTGATGCCGCATTATCAAAGTGCCGATGGTTAAAACATAACTATGCATGCACTCAGTTTGATTTTAATAATTTTTTTATTCGCTATGTTTATGGTATTAGTCGTAATGCGCATAGGTCCAGTTTTTCATATTCTTTGATACAGTTTTTTGCGTCTCATAGAATTCCTAAGCGTACCTACCTATACACCGAACTGTTACACCTAACTACTCAGTGAAATAGCGCTAAGTCCTAGCTGCAAGACGCAAGAGTCTTGCAGGCTATGTCTTGTTCTTGCTCAAGTCTTGCACGGTCAGTCTTGGTCTTGGTCTTGCAAAAACGCAAGAACAAGACCAAGACTGCAAGACCAAGACTGAATTTGGGCAACACTACTCGCGCTAGACTACTATTTTATTAATGTAATAGTTTGTATATAATATGTATGTATGTATGTATGTATGTATGTATGTATGTATGTATGTATGTCTGTATGTATGTATGTATGTATGTATGTTTAAAACATCTTGAGGAAACCTGCATATCCAAAGGAACCTAGCAAGTTTTCGAAAGACATGTGAAGTCCGCCAATCCGCACTTGGCCAGCGTGGTGGACGATGGTCTGATCCCCCTCGTATTGAATTATTTCCCGTGCTCAGCAGTGGGACGTTAAAATGGGCTGAATACAATACATGTATGTTTGTTACTTCAAACTTAACTGGTTAAAGGGATTTGTTTTTTTTTCTAGGACTAAAACCTGGAGTAGCACTAAGCTGTAGTTATGCACCTATCATTTTCATTCGGGTTCATCAGCATTATAACCTGAGTTATATAAACCTGAACCTAAAAATTACCTAGTTTAATATAAAGAAATACTTTACCTAGAAATAGTTAAAATGCACTGTGAATTTAGATTCTTGCATATTTTCGTTATTTGATATGAATGTATGAAGTATCCCTCTATTACGAAATATCTTTATTTATATCTATTCTGATGTATGTGAGATCGTAGGCTCAAATATATTCAAGTTGACATTTTTGGAATGATATCAAAAATAATAAAATTTGAATACAAACATGGCTCATATGGCGTTGTTTACATAACCATTTGGATGGCTTACAAAACATATATCTGTTTTAATTAAGCTTAATAAATGTAGGTGTCGACACAAATCATAAGTAAATTGTACCATAAATATTATAATTGCAAAGTTTATAAGTATGTTTGTTACTTCTTAACGCTGTAACTCTTTGAAGGATTTACTGTATTACCATAGATTTTTTTCGACGTATCTACTACGAGAGTCGTGGGAAAGAGTATTATTATGATTGCAAAAGGTTGTTTACTGGCCTTTCTTTCGTAAAATAAACTATGGTGAAAATCATATAAGAATCATATTAGCGTATATGTAATACTAACCATGCCTTACTTTTATAGAAAAAAAAACTTCTACTCTTCTACTCTCGCTTCATTCTGGTGTATCCCTATGTGCCTAAGGTAGCCTATGTTTCAGTCCAGGTCATAGACCAAAGTCTGTATATTAAATTTCATACAAATCTGTCCAGCTGTTTTAACGTGAGCATAAACATACAATCTTTTGCATTTATAATATTAGTCCGATACTGGAACGAGGTAATTGTTAATAAATAATTCTTTAGACGGAGCCCGCCAAAAATGTCAAAGTCAAAAATAGTAGCGTGATGCAAAATCACGTTTATGATAATACTAGCGACTCACCCTCGCTTCGCTTGGGTACGCCTCTAGGCAAACAAAAACAAACCTATCACACGGGAACCGTACATTTTTCCGGGATAAAAAGTAGCCTATGTGTTATTCCAGACTATAATCTATCTCTGTGCCAAATTTCATCCGTTCAGCCGTTCTGGCGTGAAAGAGTAACAAACATCCATACTCACAAACTTTCACATTTATAATATTAGTATAGATATAGATTTTCGCTTTTTCGATACAAATCGTTTGCGTTATATAAAGAATTAGAAGAAAACATGAATTATAAAAAAAATCTATATTCTTTTGTATGTTTTAAGCATTTGTTTTCTTCCAATTAAAAGAGAGATAGAATAATATTAGATTATTTTTTAAACCCACCCTGACTTAATTAACATTTATTAACTTATCACAGTAATTAATTTTCTATTTATATTTGTACTGCTATATTGATTTAAAAAAAAAACATTATTTTTTGGCTTCACGTTTAGTTATATGACACTCTGTGTATATTATTCCTTAGTCAGAGATGTTATAAGAAATTAAAGACATAATCCAACATCTAAAATATAATTTTAGTTCAATATGTTCGTACATATATTGTACAAGTTTTATATAATAAAACTAGCGGCTCACCCTCGCTTCGCTCGGGTTCGTCGCTAGGATTTAAATAGATATAAATAGTTATTAGCCAGCGTTAATCATATAAATCTTAATTTTTTTTTCGTGATTTTTCTGGTGTTTTAATACTTATTAACCTATTCCAGACTAAGAGAAATCCAAAAATTCAAATATCATAAAAATTGTTCCACCCATTCTTGAGTTTTATGTCACGTCAGACGGGAACGCGGTCGAACGGGATAAAAATATCCTATGTCCGTCTCCTGGTTCTAAGCTACCTCCCCACGAATTTTCAGCCAAATCCGTTCAGCCGTTCTTGAGTTATAAATAGTGTAACTAACACGACTTTATTTTATATATATATATAGATTGTAACTAATCCGAATCTGTACATTAGATATTTTTGGAAAATCTTATTGAAATAGCCATTATTAACTATACAGAGGCCGAATCTATAGTTTTTAGAATTTTTGTCTGTCTGTCCGTCCGTCCGCCCGTCCGTCCGTCCGTCCGTCCGTTACCGCATCACAGAAAAACTACTGGAGGGATTTTGATGAAATTTGGTATGGTGATAGCTGGTTATTCGGGTCAACATTTTATCGCGGGAAAATATTTCATTTTTGAGAAAAAATACAAAAACTACAATGTAAGAGTATACTAAAATATAAAACCTAAGAATTTGGTTTTTGATCACCTGAACGCGAGCGAAACCGCGGGCAATGCTAGTCTTTAATAAAATGCTATAATTCATAACTTTTTACTGCAGATATCGCAAATGTCTACATACCTGTATGCTTTTAAACGTAATTTAATAATTACGTACCATCCTTGACAGTTACGTGTCCCCGTTACAAAGTGTCTTTTAATGATGGTTTCGAAAAAGCCCCGGTTTCCTGAAAGAGAAGCTTAATGAAAGCAAAGTGGAAATAAATTGCTATAATTGAGCGTTTTTTAAAGAACAAAATATATTTTTTATTTAACTATACTTCTTTCTAGATAAACTAAGTTATAACTCTTAAGGCCTCTGACTATGTCCATATTGAAAACTGTATCGATCAAAATTAAAAAAAGGTTTATTGTAAAGTTTCGCCTTATAAATGAGATATTTAGACAACACGTTTGGCTCAGTTTGTAGTGACCCTATTTTGCTGCGCCAGCGGTCGCGGGTTAGAGTCCCGCTGGGGTAATTAATTTGTGTGATGAGCACGAATGTTTGTATTCCAGTCATGGGTGTTTATATTTATAATATGTAGTATTTGAAGCTATATATGTGTAGTGTATCAACTATTTGGTATCCATAACACAAGCCTCGTGGCTTACCATGGAACTACGAGTAGATGACTGTGTGTTAATGTTCCAACATATTTCTTTATTTATTTATTTTCTTGCGGTAAAAAGTAGCGTAAAAGTATAGGTATAAAAAATCATATTAGTTAATAGAAGGGCAAACAAACAAATAAACACATTTATAACATTAATAGGTATACATATATATTATTATGCGGGTATGAAACAAGAAATGCGAGAATGTTTTATGTCTCTTTTTGACATTTTAAAGAGAAACTTTAGTTAAATAGTAAGATGTAAGGTATATAAACACACTAGCATTGCCCGCGGCTCCGCCCGCGTTCAGATGACCAAAAACCAAATTCATAGGTTTTAAATGTTAGTATACATTGCAGTTTTTGTATTTTTTCTCAGAAATGAGATATTTTCCCGCGATAAAAAGTATCCTATATGTTGACCCGGATAACCAGTTATCACCATACCAAATTTCATAACAATCCCTTCAGTGGTTTTTCCGTGATGCGGTAACAGACAGACAGACAGACAAAAATTCTAAAAACTATAGATTCAGTCTCTATATCGATAATAATGTTTATTTCAATAAGATTTTCCAAAAAATATTTAATGTACCGATTCGGCTCAGTTACAATTTTACTATATGTATAGATTTTTTTAATGAAAACTAGGAAGTTAAGTAATTTTGTTTAGTTATGTCCTTAGAACTTATTTATGCAGAAAGTATGTTTTCAGACGACATGTACAAAATTCTATTCCTACCTCGAATACGTCGTTGTGTTTATTCAGTTGCATCATAACAATTTATTGATATGATATTGTATAAACTAGCAATGTTATTCGTCCTCTTTTAAAATATTTTTGTAAAAGTTCAAAATTGTGGACTTGTGAGAGAAAATCCAAGTGTATTACTGAAATATAACGCTTGCTTAGTATTAAAATAGCGTATTTATAGGATGTCCTCTAAAGCAGTAATACATATTACATATTGACTTGTTTATATACTAAAACTCGAGATATACAATTAGCGTCTAAAAAGTGTCCTCAAAAAGAAGCTCACAATTCGGAGTTGTGCGCCTTTTTCAAATCTTTTTTGTTCGTTTTTTTTCGGATGACAAAATTAAAATACACGTTGTTTTTTTTTGTAAAAGTACCTTATGTGATATCCGTAAGTTCGAATTTGTGTTTAGACAATTGGAAGTTAGAACTTTCGATTTTTGAATTTTATCCTTTGGTTTTATTTAATGTCGACGCCACTTTTTGAAGAAATATTTGTTAGGAAATGTGTATGTACGTTTTTATATATCAATAATTCGATTTTTTGTCATAGACATGGTTTATTGGCCAGAGAGTGTCATAGGATATTTTTATGAATAAATCGATTTTTAATCGATTGCATAAATCTCACTATCGATAACACTAAATGTAGGTAGATGGTTACCACTTTCCATTAACGGCATTACATCAATCATATTGAAACGGCGAAGTTAATTGGAAATTCAATAGACTCATCTCCACACGCAGAGTGTAAATGAAATTTCAATGAAACTTAATTAGAGCAGTGGAATGAGGAACATTCTGGAATGAGGTCGAAGGGAGCGACTAATATAGTGTCAAGGACGATGAATATATGCAGAGCCGGATTTGAAAGTTTAGGTCTGGTGTAGTTGGGGGCAGTCCGTAACATTAATGTAAGAAAATTAAAAACTTTTATTTTTTTTAATTTTGGTTAAAACAACTAAAATGTATATGCGAAAGTTTGTATGTGTATACGTATGTTTGTTACTCTTTCACGCAGAAACGGATAGACGGAATTGGATGTTTTGTCACAAATAGGTGACTCAGGTTACATAATTCTCCAGAGTATCACATAGGATACTTTTAGTCTATAATATTATAAGTATAATCACTTAAGGATCGATGGAAGCAAGTGAAAATCGCTAGTTTCACATAAAATATCAAAAGGCTACATAGTAATTTCTATGGGGGTCCAATTCACGTGGAAACTGCAACGTCAGTTGCCACCCACTAAATCCGACTCTGTATAAGCATATGAGTTGCGTACTAATGGCTCATATCCTTTATATTAGACTAATGACATGCTCGCGCTTTAATCTGGAATTTTAGGCAGTAAAGTAAATCCCAAATAATAAATTGTAATTGAATAAAAGGTGGTGGTTTGAACTAAAATATCTATGTTTTCAGCTTCATTGTTTCCTTTTAAAATAAATAACAAATGTTTCATGGCATTTTAAATATGATTTTGAACTGCCATTTTGGACTAGTAGATTAAAAAAATATTTCTGGACAATAAAGGAAGTTACAAAAATACTTTATATATACAAAACAAATATACACTTAATTATTACTATACAAGTCATGTCCGCGTGGAACAGTAGCAAGAGTGCTAGCCACATTCCCGCGCTGAATGCAATACCGTTTCTTGAGCGAAAAATGGCCAGATCTCTTATCACCAGTAGAGATGATAAGATAGGTGTTATGTCTAGTTATTAATATGTACGGCTGCAGTTCTGCAGGCCAAATCGGGCTAAATATTAGGTATAGGGTATTAAGTAAATATATGTATACATACTAATATTATAAAAGTGAAAGTGCGTTTGTTTGTCCTTTCTTCACGTCGAAACGGAGAAACGGATTCGCGTGATTTTTTGTGTGGAGAAAGTTGGAGGGCTGGAGAGTGACATAGGCTACTTTTTATCACGGGAAATTATCGCGTTCCCACGGAAAAACACGTTATAATACAATCCAAAAAAAATATGATCAATAAAAGCTCTGCAATAAAATAAATATGTGTTTTAGCATTTTTCGAAATTCATTCTATAAGGGTGTAAAATAGGGGATGAAAGTTTGTAAGAAACTACCTTTTTAGATAATTTATTGTAGTTTTAGTGCGAGCGAAGCCGCAGGTTCTGTTAGTATATATATACATTTAAGTTTCTCATTCATAATAGCAATATAATAATATCTCCTGCGCAGCTAACGAGTGAGATTTGGCAGAAATCCATTGGTCCTCCAGACGGTCCTCCTATACCTATATGTAATTTTATGTAAACCATATTTTATGTCGACAGTACCTCCACTATGGGTAAAATTGCAAGGCGGTCCACGAATCTTAGTAGCTGAAAAAACAACAGAGCTAGTTTGTACAGCTGTGGGAGCTCGTCCCACGCCCACGATCTCCTGGTGGAAGAGTGGGACTAGACTTACCAGTATTAAGGATATTGTAAGTTGTTGAAATATACCTCATTTAGTCTAATAAAAAATTGTAACTTGAATATTTACAAATTACTAACTTTGTTAGGTTTTATTTATTAAAAAGAACAGTTAAGTTAGTAAAAAGCAAATATTTTGTTTCAATCAAAAGTCAAATTCGATTTCACGTCACCAGAAATGTGAATTAAGGAGGTTTTTTAGGCTTTAAATTGACAAATTACATTCTTAGAGTTTAAATATTTACATTAGATAGCAAATTAGCAAATCCAATTAACTTTCTTTTTGGAAGACTTCAGTCTTATAACATAGAGGTTTTAATGTTTTATAAGTACAAGACTAAATACTTCTTTTAGCAAACGTCAGTAGATGGCAATATAACGCGTAGTACGCTAAGTTTCGTACCAAGTATCGAAGATGCGGGTAGAATGCTCTCATGCAAAGCCAACCAGCCTGCCTTCCCACATAATACATATGAAGATGGATTCAAATTGGAAATTCAACGTGAGTATGAGATTATATGTATATGACTTTAAAAGATTAATAAATATCACATTATACTACTTTTCTGTCCTGACTCCGCTTGCCCAGTATGTATGTCAGTACCTACGTCAATAAAAAATATATAATAGATTGATTCCGATTAAAAACTTTCATCCCCATTTTCAGCCCCTTAATGGATGATCTCCGGAAACAAAAGTATCCTATGCCTCTTAAACTATATTCTTACCAAATGTCCTCTAAATTGGTTCAGTAGTTCCAGAGATTACTTCCTATAAACAAACTCACAAACTTACAAACTTTATATCTTTATAATATTAGTATATGATGTAAGTTATCTCCATGCCGAATTCCATTTCATTCTGGTCTACCCATTACTGTGTTAATAAGTGATATTAGACAATATTTATTATTGTATTTTTTGTTAGACAGACAGACATTATAACCTCTTTTAAACTTTTTATTGTTATTTTTTTAGATATAAGCGCGATTTTACTTAGATATGGACTAAAAATAAGTAATTTTACGTTTAAGACGGCAATTTTGAAAGGAATTTTCAGTTTGTCGCCATTTTCCTATTAATATATTCATACAAAATAAAGTGTTGAAATGAAATATAATTGTTTTAGATTTGCCAGTAGTGAAATTAGAGTTGGGAGCGAATTTAAACGCAGAAAATGTGATAGAAGGCTCAGACGTGTATTTGGATTGTATGGTGCGTGCTAACCCATGGCATACTCATGTGTACTTTACCCATAAGGTAAGTTGTTGCTTTTTAGAATTTTCTAATATACTGAATTCATTTTTAATTCTATTTTTATTATTTAATTTAATATTTAATATTGTATTAATTATTTTAATCGAAATTATTATTATCAGTCCAAAAAAGACAAGTTGTTGCAGTTTTCAACAGAAGTTCTGCCAAATTCAATGTAAAATGACTTAGTATTTGGATATTGGTTTTGTAAATTAATCTCTATAATTTAATACGATGGATTTTCATTGAGTTAATTCATATCCATACTAATATTATAAATGTGAAAGTTTTTGAGGCTGGATGGATGGATGTTTGTTACTTAATCACGCCAGAACGCCTGAACGGATCTGGATGAAATTTGGCACAGAGATAGATTATAGTCTGGAATAGCACATAGATTAGACAGATAGATAGATAGATGCTTTATTGTACACCACAAATAAATATACAAAAAGAAGATATAAACAATAGATGATGCACAGCAGGCGGATTACCTTTTATCCCGAAAAAATGTACGGTTCCCGTGGGATAGATGTTTTTGTCTAAAGACGATCCCAAAGCGAAGCGAGGGTGAGTCGCTAGTTTTAAATAAAAATCTATCGTATTATAAACTTTATACGTTTTTTGAGTATCTCAAAATATTGTGAATATTCTAGAATTCAAATATCTAAAATATATTGTTCTACAATAACAATGAAATATTCAATAGTGCTTCATCTTTAGGTTGGTCGTGTTTTAAAGACAATTGGGTAAAAGGAAATAGATATTTGCTCTGATCATTTGAGCGTATCCATTTTGCCTTAAGTCTATATATATTTTTTTTCTTTGAAATGAGAAAATATTTTATTGGATGGTTGTAGTGTGTTATTAAAATAATAAACTTGTAACTCTGTGTCTATAAAACTGAAAAATTTTCTGTTTCTAAAGGCTTTCCTTTTAAGTTCATTAAATTGTTAAGATTCTGGAAATAAAAAAATGGTTTATACAATTTACTTTGACTTAAAAAAGATTAAACAAACTATTTCATTAGTGTGTTTCTAGAATATATTGCTTTTTAGGGTTCAACAGGGTGTCAACGGACCCCCCCCCCCAACGTGCGTTCACCTTGTCGTGGTGGGGGGGCTCAGTAGCAGTAGCGAAGCTAAGAAACGCACAGGGAGGTTGCCCACTTCGGTGGGCGGTGGGAGGTGGCCCTCTTCGGAGGGCGGTGTACCATGCGGGTTGCTCCTGGTACTTCTCTGATAGCAGAGTGGACTGTGGAGCAACCCCACGGTTGTGGTGGTCTGCTTCGGCGGACCTGCCGTCGGGGCGTCGTAGTTGAATGCGTAAGCGATCCTGCGACGCCCCATTAAGACGGGGGAAGGTTTTGTTGGGTTTTAGTGGGTAGTACTGGCTGTATTACGCCGGTGAGTCCCACACGTCGTGCGTAAATGCATTTCCCAACGTTAAAAAAAAAAAAAAAAAAAAGGGTGTCAACGGTACCCTACTACTAAGCCCGCTCTGTCCGTCCGTCTGTCAGAGTGCTGTGTCCTGAACCGTAATAGGTAGATAGTGCAAATTTTCATTGAGTGTGTATTTCTATTGCCGCTATAACAACAAATAATAAAAACCCAAGATAGCGAATTCCAAAAAGACTGCAATTAGAATTAAAAAAAAAAGACGTAGATTATGGTACGGAACCCTTCGTGTACGAGTCATAATAAAGAATTTATTAGCTTTATCGTAGCCTTAACTTTATCATCAGTATTTTAGTTTTGGACATCAAATATAATTTGGTATGTAGCAGGAACAATACAAAAGTGTATATGTGTTTGGGCTATTTTAATTACTTTAAAAGATAAATATCTGATTAAGGCATTAACTGTTCACAAAACATTAAGTACAATATATCTAAATTCTGTTTCTTAAGAATTTCTATGATGCTCCATTCCATCTTCTGATTTTCGTCAGATCTAAATACTAAAATTATATTTTATTTGCAATAAAGAAAATTACAAATATACTTAATTATATATACAAAACAAATGTGCACTTAATTATTACTGTACAAGTCATGTCCGCGAGGAATAGTGGCAAGATTGCTAGCTGTATTCCCCCGCTGCCGAACCAATGGCAATGCGAACCAATATATTTTGGCAAAAAACGAGTCAGCTCTTTTGTCACCAGTAGAGGAGATAAGACGAACAGCTGTTATATTTTTAAAGAACTACTTAGCACTTTGACTCCATGGAGCAAAGGTTTATACAGCAAATGGTATAAAAAGATAATTTTGACTGAGGGATTTAACTAAAAAAATTAACATAATTTTGATTAAAATACCTATTTATTAATATTTCTACAGTATTCATTATCTTACTACAGGGTTCTAGAATTCGTGGAAGTTCAGGTATTGTGGTGGCCAACCAAAGCCTGGTACTGCAACATGTATCGAGAGTAGCAGCGGGACCTTATATTTGCGTAGCCAGAAATGCTCTAGGCGAGGGCTCTAGTGCAGCGCTAGATTTGAACGTAAAGTGTAAGTATACCATTGTAGCTAAGTTTAGACACAAATTGCGACATAAATGTCAGACATTAATTTTGACGACACGTTTGCCTCAGCTTGTAATGACGTTACTTACTGTGCCAGCGGTTGCGGGTTCGAATCCCGCCGGGAGCATTCATTTATGTGATAAGCACGAATGTTTGTACTCCAGTCGTGGGTGTTTATATTTATGTATGTGTTTAAAGTTATATATGTGTATGTATCAAATATCTGGTATCCAGAACACAAGCCTCGTAGCTTACCATGGGACTAGATGGTGCTTTGTGTTATTTATATTTAATATATATAATACCAACATATTTATTTATACTTGTATTTAATTTAGGGACTGTTTACACTTTTATAAAATTTTAAGAGTCTGAGTTTTGTTATCTGTATATAAATGTACGGAAATTGTCTCTGAGCTGTTCACACTCCTTGCTCCACGTAAAACTTATTTTTAAGTCCTATCTTCTAAGCGGTGCGGTGTATTAAAAATGTCGAGACTGTTCGACAATTTTTCAACAATACGAGACACTTGAACACAACATGTTCACTGTTCACACAGCCGCTGATCGATACTAATTATCGTGTCGCAATAACTTTTACAATTAGAGACACTCGCGTTCACACAGGGACACTCGGTGTATACACTGAGTGTACCATGTATACCTAGTGTCTTGGTCTAAATTAAGCTGTCATCCTGTTTGAAATTATGACAGTGTAAATCAACTCTTTAACTGCAAAAACATACTATGTCACAGTTTCTAAAACTACTCAATTTTATAATAATTACACTACGGGACTTAAAAGCGTGAATTCGTAAGTGGCTGTATACCCCAATTTCCCTGTATTCCCCACGTTTGGACTGGGTTGCATCAGCCGTGGTCACGGCTTTTTATGTTTTGTAAAAATTATGCTATTTTCTCACATAACTGATAAATATAATAACTTACATAATATTTATACATATATAATTACCATATATAATTTACTAAATACATAAATATATATATATATATATGTATATATATATATATATATTTATATATACATATATATACATACTCGTATATCAATTATTTTGTAATAAAATATACTAGAGTTATGCCACTTTTGCTTTTCGCTGAGTTTTTTCTTCTCCAATAATGATCGTTACAAAGCCTTTTCAACAATATATGCGGGTTTGAATATCACAAGTACTGGATATTTCTATTACAGACATTTGTTTAAAGTATAGAGTAGAAAAAAAGAGAATATAGCTGGCATTGTTTTTATTCTTTACGTATAAATACAAATACTTTTTTATAACTAACGAGTAGCGGTACGTCCTCGACGGTCAAGTGGGTTTCTAGATCTCGTTGCAACAGATAATAAATCATGGCAAACTTCATAAAACGGGAGGAATAATATCCTGAATCGTTCTGGCCTATATCTGTATGCAAACAAAACATAACTGATGTTATTTAATAAAATAAAAACAAATTCGCATTTTTAATACGAGTATACTGCAATATTACAGGATTTAAAATTAATTCACACAATAAATTTACACACTATAGCGATAATACTTAAATTTGCGCGAAATTTTGACATTTAAAATAGACTATATAGTGACCTTTGAGATGTCTAAAAACTTTGTTTCTCCCGTAACCATGATTGATGTAAAGCATTCGAAACGTTGAGAAACAAAAATCAAAATAAATCTGCGAAAAGATCCCGAAAAGGTTTATCCTAACTTCGCTCGAGTGCGTCCCTTGATGGCTAACAGTAGCATATGTGTTACTCTTAGTCAATTTATGTATCTGTGTACCAAATTTCATCTAAATCCATCCAGTTATTTCATGAAGGAGTAACAAACATACACACGTACAAATTTTTGTATTTATAGCGTCAGTACGATTTAGTCTATACCAATAACAATAAATATAATTGAACTGTCTGTTTGTAATGACAAAATAACAGCTTTTTATTAAATGCATATGAAACTATATGCGGTACTTACTACTTAAAAGAAAAAATCATTTTTTAAAATTTTTGTCTATCTATCTGTTTGTTCCGGCTAATCTTCGAAATGGCTGAATCGATTTTGACGGGATTTTCACTGGCAGATAGCTAATGTTATAAAAAGTAACTTAGGCTACTTTTATTTTAGAAAAAGCGTGTTTAGTGTTTCGTGCAAAAAAATTAAAGCTTTTGATTTAGCGATCATAATCCGCATGCCTATTACCTAGAGATGCACCCGAGTGAAGCGAGGTTAAATCGCTGGGTCATAATAAAAATAACATAAGAAGCCTCTAACCACAATTAGTAATAAACGGTCTCGATTTCTTGCATATTTATAGAAACGAAGGGTATATTATATATCATACTAGCATTGCCCGCGGCTCCGCCCGCGTTTAGATGACCAAAAACCAAATTCTTAGGATTTCATATTAGTATATTCTTACAATGCAGTTTTTGTATTTTTTCTCAGAAATGAAATATTTTCCCGCGGTAAAAAGTATCCTATATGTTGTCCCGGATAACCAGCTATCATCGTACCAAATTTCATTAAAATCTGTCCAGTGGTTTTCTCGTGATACGGTAACAGACAGACAGACAGACAGACAGACAGACAGAAAGATAGACAGACAGCCAAAAATTCTAAAAACTAGGGATTCGGCCTCTGTATCGATAATAATGTTTATTTCAATAAGATTTTTCAATAAATATTTAATGTACAGATTCGGCTTAGTTACAATTTTATTATATGTATAGATTGACCCATATTAATCCATATCAGAGTTAATCTATACTAATATTATAGAGGTAAAGTTTGTAATATTGTGAGTTTGTGACGTTGTAGGGTTAGTAAATCGGTTCAATAGATCCAGAGATTACCATCTCTGGATCTATTGAACCGATTTAGATGAAATTTGGTAAGAAGATAGTCTGAGACCCTGGGAAGGACATAGGATACTTTTTATCCCTTAAGGGGGAGAAATTGGGGATGAAAGTTTATGTGGGTAATCAACCCAGGGACGAACCCGAGCGAAGCGAGGGTGAGTCGCTAGTTATATGTAAAGTATTTCTCACTTTGTACTGAGTTCACAAAATTTTTCGGATATCTTAACCCATCGCTTAGGGCTAATATCGCCATACTTTATCAGATTGTTAAACGTTGTGATAAAAGTTTTAACGGACTGTTAAGTCATTGGAACGACTTTCAACGTGCTAAAGGCCTGTGAATTTCCTTAATCAGCTATTAAACTTAATCACAGTTTAACAGGTCCGTTTGCTCGGTGACAGATAAAATGTACATATTATATTTTTTAATGTAATTTGGCTATAGTTTCATTAAACAATGGTCAGCTACATTTTCATTATGGAACTTTTTTTTAATATTAATTAGTCCTTAATCTTAAACACTGAATTATCTAATGACTTATTTTATGAAATTGGGTGGAACTAGCTTTTAATTTTAGACATACATTTTGTGCTGTCTGTGTCTATTCTAGATGACATAGTTTCTCTCCATACAAATCTTGCATTGAATAAATCAAAGACCTTGCTTGTCTCCTAACAGATATTTTTAGAGGTTGATGTCAAGCTGAAAATGATGACAAAAGAGAGAATATTTATTTGATTATTTAATTTTATATAAATTCGTTTTAAGCTAAATATTTTAGGGTTCCGTGCATGAAGGGTTCCAATGGTCCGTCTGTCTATCAGCAGGCTGTATCTCATGAACCGTAATAGGTAGTGAGTTGAATTTTTTAACAGAATGTGTATTTCTATTGACGCTATAACAAAAAATTATAAAAAACCAATATGGTTTGTATGATTTCAAAATAGCCGCCGTAAAAATTAAAAATATTAGTACATAGATTAGATAGATTAGGACATAATGTAATATCTTGTAAAACGGTACGGAACCCTTCATGTGCGAGTCCGACTAGCACTTGACCGGTTTTTATTAGTTATTTCTCTAATTACATACTGGTTCTAGGCTTGAATTCAAAGTATTCCGGTCACAGTGTTTTTCTCCTTTTTAATTAATAATTATGCTACCAGAATTGTTAATTAATTTGATTATTTTTCTCGACAACTGGTATTCATGGAAAGATATCAGTGTGATTTTTGCATAGAAATATTTTTTAAACCATGAAGTTACAGGTATAAATTACTAGTATACTTGGGTGACTGAGCTTCACTCATTCTTTTAGAATAAATTATAAAAATTGCGTCTTTTTCAGAAAAAATACCTATAGGTATAGATAAAATTGAAAAACAAAACTTTATCTAAACACAAAATTTGATGTAAATCGTTAGAGCCGTTACAGGGATACTTAAAATAAATTTATACGAGTATATATAGAAGAATTGCTCATCTGTACTAAAACTAATATTATAAAGGCAGAGTTTATTTGTTTGTTTGAACACGCTAATCTCAGGAACTACTGATCCGATTTGAAAAATTCATATTGCATTAGCCCGTTTATCGAAGAAAGCCCGTTTATCATACAATATAATAAAGTCTATTTATTCCATACTAACTGTTAAAAGTACCTAGGGATGAACCCGAGTGAAGCTAGTGTTGATCTAATGCTGTTGATGAGGGCGATAGGAAGATTCTGTGGTTAGTCTGTGTCAAAAAGCAGCCTACTAATAGGGCAAAGTAAGGGTGTGCCCCTAGTACAAAATACATTGATTAACGAAACTGGAGTTCAATACAAATGTTGACCTGAGTCTATCAAATATTAGATAGTGATGTGTGTTTAACAAGACAAACTGCAATTGGCGATATGAATTCTGGTTATTGCATACGAAATGGAAGTAAAATTTGTTATTTACATACATATATATCTAGAATTGTTGGCACATATTTGTTCTGGGATGTATAAATGATATCGATTAATTGAATAGATTTCTCGTAAGTATATTTTTGATCGCATTATACTATAACAGAATTCAATTTTTTTTTTAATTATTTTATATATAACCGTTAGTTGTAGTAGTTATTATATAACCGGGTAGAAAATTTCTAAATTATTCAATAAACAAAAAAAATCTATTGGCGAAAATATCGCTTAACATACAAGAACACCAAGTCTCTGTACTCTGATCAAAAACTGTAATGTGAACAAAAATAATGATACAATTCTAACAATACACATACATAAACACATTATAAACAATGTTATAATAAAAATAAGATGGTATAAATAAAAACAAAACAATTTAATAATTTCCCTAATACAGGTTGGAAAATAAGAGAGCATGGAAGAGAATTGCCTTAAAATTTTAAAGCTATAAGTTTCTTCAAAGGAAACATTCTTTTGTTTTTAAACATAAAAATAACTGAACTTAAATATGTTTTAAAAAGCTTACCAGAGTTAGTAATCGAACCAAATAACGCAAAACAATACACCGACACTATTTTATCGAAGTAATATGATAAGGAATAACTACCTCGGTGGTATAGTAGCTAGCATGTACGGCTACACACTTGGAGGTCCAGGGTTCGAGTCCCGGGTCGGGCCAAGTTTTGTTATTGAGTCTTTCTGTATGTAAGTCTCAGTAACAGCCCGGAGTTGGGAAGTTGGCGGTGTTTCACCCCTGTGTCTCGGAGAGCACATAATGCCTCGGTCTTGCGCCTTAACTCTCACCGGTCGTGTCGTCCCACCGGAGTATGAGAGTGACAGGAATAGAGAGTGCACGTTGTGTCTGCGCGCACACTTATGCACTATAACATCTCCTGCGCAGTTGGCTAGTCTCAATGAGATTGGCCGCCGTGGCCGGAATCGGTTAGGAGAACATCATGATTAGGAATGAGGATTATAAGGACCTCGAAGAAACATTATATTTTATTCATACATATCGACTCTAACTTACTACGTGGAACAAAAAGCAAAAGAATATTTCCTTTAAGTGAAACTAATTGATATTTAAGATACATAATTTTCCATTTACATTTGTTACACCCTGTATTTAAGATATTTTTAAATTGGTTTTTAATAATTACTAGTTATACTATCTTTTTGTATATATTTATATATTATGTTAATATTTTTGATCATATTTAAGAAGGAAAGCTTGATATCTTCAATATTTAATATTCTTTTCTTCCATATCCCATACAGTTATTCCGTATAATCTTGGAGCCCGTTACTATATAAATTTCTTTATATAGACAGCCCTGCTTGTAAGACGGCGAAGACGGCGTCTCTTTACGTAGCCCGAGGAGAGACCGTGCAAATAGACTGTGAACTTGATTCTAATCCCATGGTAAGTATAAAATGATATATAATATTATAGTTTAATAAGTTAATACAGGTTTTGATTTAAGGTAACGTACAGATATCGTCAAAATGATTAATCTATACATATAATAAAATTGTAACTAAGTCAAAATTGTACATTAAATATTTTTTGGAAAATCTTATTGAAATAAACATTATTATCGATACAGAGGCCAAATTTATAGTTTTTAGAATTTTTGTCGGTCTGTCTGTCTGTCTGTTATCGCATCACAGAAAAACCACTGGAGGGATTTTGATGAAATTTGGTATGGTTTTAGGTGGTTATCCGGGTCAACAAATAGAACTTTTTACCGCGTTAAAAATCTCATTTCTGAGAAAAAAATGCAAAAACTGCAATGTAAAAGTATACTAATCTGTAAAACCTAAGAATTTTTTGTTTGGTTATCTGAACGCGTGCGGAGCCGCGGACAATGCTAGTAGTTTAATAAGTAAAAATAGGTTTTGATTTAAGGTAACGTACAGATATCGTCAACATGATTATATATAGAGCCTATGAAGAGTTTCAGTATCCATCAGATCAGCTTGATTGATCAATATCAAATTACGGTATTGTCATCCGGATGTCACATATAAAGTTTCAAATTGATACAAAAATATTACATAGACTAGCGGCTCACCCTGGGTTCGCTCGGTTTCGCCTCTATAAAAACAAATCTATCCCTCAAGGGATCTCGATATCCCGGAAAAATATACGGTTCTCGAGAACCGTATATTTTTCCGGGATAAAAAGTAATCTATGTGTTATTCCAGACTATAATCTATCTCTGTGCCAAATTTCATCGAAATCCGTTCAGCCGTTTTGGCGTGAAAGAGTAACAAACATCCATACTCACAAACTTACATATTTATAACATCAATATAGATTAGAATCAAATCTAATATTTCATTACGTAGTTAATAGAAGCTAATAAAAGCAGGTAATTTTTTTTCTGTAAAAGTAACTGATTTTATATTTAAATATTTAGTTCTAAGAACCGGCAATAGGAATTCATTGGGGTTTTTTTAAATGTAAATTGTCATAGATAGTTAATATATGTATCTGTAATTTACTAAAAGCTACGTCATATTGGATTTTAATGAATTTGGAATTTAATAAATTACAATTATATCTTTTTAAATACAAATATACATACATATTATGCCTCGTGTGGTATTTGAACCAACATAAAACGTTGAATGAACAAAATAAATTATTGAACATTCAAAATAGTTCTGTTTGATTACATTTGTGTTTTTTTTTCTTTGACATCACGTTTGGCTCAGTTTGTAGTGATCCTATATGCTGTGTCAGCGGTCGCGGATTCGAGTTCCGCTGGATGCATTCATTTGTGTAATACGAATGTTTGTACTCCAGTCATGGGTGTTTATATTTATAATATGTATATTGTATATATTTAAAGTTATATATGTGTAAGTGGTATCAACTATCTTGTAGCTTACTATGGAACTAGATGGTGCTGTGTGTTAATGTGTTGATTAGGTTATTAACTTAATGTTCTCTTCTAGCCCTCTAATATTATAATAAACGCGAAAATTTGTAAGCACGTATGTATGGATGTATGTTTGTTATTCTTTCACGCCAGAACGGCTGAACGGATCTGGATGAAATTTGGCACAGACATAGATTATAATCTGGATAACACATAGGCCACTTCTTATCAAATATACGGTTCCCGAGGGATAGATTTGTTTTTGTTTTTTTAGAGGCGAACCCGGACGAAGCGAGGGTGAGCCGCTAGTTAGTCATATTTATTATATTCATTATTCACCCATAAGAAAAAAAATAACATTTCTTGTTCACACTATAATTTCGCACTCATTTAGAAAATAATATATTATTATGAAATATTCATATTGAAAGTGTTTTTTTTTTACTTACATATGCATTGATTCATTTAAAACATAAAATCTACAGAACGTTCACAATTTCTTGCGAACAGATGTTGTCGGATCGATATCTAATACTTCAAATATGTAAAGTTTTTATAGTCAAAGTCTGGGCTGATATTAAATACTTTGAACGGTATTAGAATTTTGAAACAAAGGAGAGCTTATAAATTAAAAATTAAAGGTTTTTCAAAGCTTTAAAGTGTCTTAGAATATTAAAGTTTTCCAAATAATTTTCTAACTTATAACTACTTAAGAGGTTTTAAATAATTTACAAAAGAAAAATATGTTATTAGCCAATTATCTGTTAAAGATACACTCACTGTCTCATTTGTTTAGTGGATAGCATGTACGGCTTCAGATTGGCAGGTCCTGGATTCGAATTCCAGGTCAGGCCAAGTGTTACTGCATTATTCTGTCAAGAAATAAGAAGCAGCAGCTCGGCAGCTGAGAAATACTTTGAGAGTTAGAGGGTTAGAGAGTGCACTTGTGTCTGCGCGTACACTTGTGCACTATAATATCTCCTGCGCAGTTGGCTAGTCTCAAAGAGATTGGTCTCGGATAAATTGCTCTAATATAATGGGAATAGTGAAAGCAAAAATTAATGGATTGCCTAATTAATAAGAAATAATAGCTTAACTATCGTAAATGTTTGAATGTATGTATGTGTGTGTATGTTTGTTTCTCCTTTACGCTGAAATGGCTGCACCAATTTTAATAAAATTTAGCACATAGATAGACTATGCCCTAGAGTATCACATAAGCTATTGTTAGTTGTAACTAGCTAACTATATATATTAAGAAATAGTTTATTAATTTGGTCCTTTTGTTCATACTAGGATCCCATGACTTACCAGTGGTGGTTCAACAACACATCGCACTCCAAACTCGAGTTACATTCTGAAGCGAACACGCAGAATAATCGCGGTAAGATTATAAATATTACAATGCTATGTTAATGTGAAATGAGCAAATCTCATTTGACATTTACTTATTTTATATAGAAATTACATAATACATAATACATTCTTAACTAAGTTTCATAAAAACATTCATAAATTATAAAACAAAGACGAAAGTTTATGTTTAAAAGAGATCTCTTCCAATCAATCTATAGAAAATAAAATTCAAATATCATATTCGTAATGATATTAGATAATGGAATCTATCTATACATATATATAAAACCAAGTCGGGTTTGTTACAACACTTATAATTCGAGAACTGCTGGACCGATTTTTATGATCATTGTTTTGTTGGACTTGTCTTCACCCTGAATAACAGAATAACTATTAAAACATCGGAAAAATTCAGGAAAAAAATAAAAAAAAAACTATTTCATAATAAGCGTCAAAACCTATTGACGAACCCGAGGGAAGCGAGAGTGAGTCGCTAGTATTACTAAATAATTTCTGTAATTAAATACCATCTTTGTAAAGTATAGATAGGGCCTCTTTTGCATTAACCTATTATATGAAAATAATATTAATAATATTTCTATTCCATATCAATTATCGTGTAGTGGCAGGAATTATCAGCCATCTAAAGGCTTCTGGCTATGGCTCAACGAAAGCTATCTATCGACAACATCACACTGATAGGTTAATGTACCTTTCGATGCATAACGCTTACTCGTAATTTCACTAAGAGGCATCGACCTTTCGTGATTTAATTTCGTATTAAAACCTTTTAGACAATTTGTTCTAATCATACCTATATTTACATATGTATATTTATGTATATATTGCACAAGTAAATAAAATATATATATAAAGAAAGTGTGTAAAGTTTCTTGAACAAAGGTGGACTTATCTCTATATAAGAAATCTCTTCCAGTCAACCCATGTCAAATCAAATCAAAATATTTTATTCAGCATTAAATTATTAAAAATAATTACTGAACGTCATGAGTCTACTACCAGTTCGGAAAGAAGAAGCCTCAGACCTGAGAAGAACTGGCGAAAGAAACATGTATGTGGGAAATAGTATTAAAAAGCGGGATATAAAGAGAAAGTCGACGACACGTTTGGCTCAGTTTGTAGTGACCCTACTTGCTGTGCCAGCGGGCCGGGTTCGAGTCCCGCTGGGAGCATTCATTTGTGTGATGAGCACAAATATTTGTACTCCAGTCATGGGTGTTTATATGTATAATATGTATATATTTAAATATTTATATGTGTAGTGTATCAACTATCTGGTATCCATAACACAAGCCTCGTAGCTTACCATGGAACTAAATGGCGCTGTGTGTTATTGTCCCAACATATTTATTTATTTATTAAAGTACATAGAGACAATAAGAAAGTATATAAGCATAAATAAAAACATCAAACCTACAAACATCTTCACAGTCTTTTTAAACTAACTTTTTTATTTCAATATACTCGTACATAAAACAGTTTATATTTATTTATAATTTTGCGATTTATAATAAGTACATATAATATATACATGTACTATACATGATATTACGAAATAAGACAATATCTGTAACGAGCCTGGTTGTTCAGGTAGATACCAGTACACGGTGAACAGTTCGGCCGACTACGGGTGGGTGCAGTGCGCGGGCACCAACTCGGTGGGCCGGCAGCTGGCGCCGTGCCTCTTTCATATACTACCTGCTGGTATGGATTGAATATGTTATATGATAATTAATGGTAGATTTTGTTTTCTTACATTTACGCGAATATTTGACATTTTAAATAAAAGTATCTTTTCGGATTTTTTTTTGCGGATATATTTTGATTTTTGGTTTCTGAAGTTACGAATGCTTTACAGCAATCATAGTCATGGGATAGACTAGATAAGTCCGCGAAAAAACCTAAAAAAATAGTTTTATTTATAATGGTAGATTATTATATTTAAAATTGTTTTCATTAAAGTTACTTATTGCGACGTTCATTGGCTTCGATATAATATGTTCGATATACGTATGTATATCTTGTTATGTTTGGTTTTGGGTTTGTTTTTCTTAGTTATGTTTGGCCTAATACTATGAAGGATAAAAATTATATATAACTAGTGTTTGAACTCGATGATACTTATAAACAATATATTTTTTGTTTCTTTTTGAAAGCCTGTTAACGCGTTTTCAGAATTGCTTTGGATCTATTCTTTACGTCTCATTCTTGTATATATATTTTTTTTTTCATATATTTCGGAAACGGCTCTAACGAGTTGCATCAAATTCAGAATTTAGATAAGGTTTTGCTGTTTTTATCTATACAAGTATATTTTCTGAAAAAAAAAACACGAAATCTTTTCACAAAATATGATAATAGTTAATGGTAGATTCAAGATTGTTATATTTAAAATTGTTTTCATTGAAATAACTTTGGCGATGTTCAGTGACCTCGATATACAGATTCTGTGTTTTCTTAGTTACTTTCAAACAATATCTTTATTGTTTCTTTTTGAAAGCCTGTTGTTTATACTTTCTCAGATTTTCTATTAATCTATATTTTACATATTACAATATTTAATAAAATTCTTGTATTATATATATTTTATTTGGTGTATATCGGAAATGGCTCTAACGATTTGGATCATATTTTGTATTTTGATAAGGTTTTGCTTTTTAAATTTATCTATATAGGTATTTTTTCTGAAAAAAAAGACGTAATTTTCATATCTTTTCCGATAAACGCCAAACGCTCGGTAATCCAGGTACCTACTATGATATATTTATATCAAAAACGTTTCTAAGTTTATTTAAAATCGGTGGGTCTTTTTACCCGACTGCGCGACACAAAGGAAGGTAATGTGTTTATCAGTCTATGTATGTATGTTTGTTCCTATATGGCATTCTATATAGGTACATCTGTATGTTCATCTCGCCGCAAGGAAGAAACGTGGTATGTCTCCGACTGCATAATACTGTATTCTTTCGTCAACTTGTTTTCATCTTTTTAGTTAGCTTTTATGCAGTCGTGTTTTTTTATTTTTATAATATTTTGTTTTTGTGATGAATTCGTTAAAAAATTAACAATTATTACCAAAACTATCTAAAATAAATAGTGCTATTTTTATTTTAGTAATATTTATTATAGAAAAACCGTCTCAACTAAAGCATTGTGCAGTTACCAATATAACACATGAGTCGTTGTGGCTTGAATGTTCTCCGGGACACGATGGTGGACTGCATCAAAGTTTTTTATTGCAGGTTAGTTGTTTTATATTTATAGTTCATCGATTTTAAATGTATGTTATATTTTAAACCTGTCGGTGCAAAAGTGGCCTAACCCTAAATATTGTTTGTTGTATTGTTGAAAATTGACATGAATATTTAGCTTGTGTTATAACAATTATAATGTAAATATATAAAATTGTTAAAAGCTTACAATTCAAGCATGAATCAATTGTTTTATTATATTTGAGAATTATCAAAATATTAGTAATGCCAGTTTTGCACTGGACGTAATATATTTTATTATAACGTTTTTGTGTTGGGAAAAGTTAAGTTAAAGTGGCATTTTAATTTTCTTTCCACTTACATATACATAGGAAATATCACCACAATATGTCACCTAAGAAGTTTTAAGTAACACGATTCTTAAAAAAAGAGCGTTGTTATTTCGTCGCCTAGCTTATTTTTTCAAACGGCCAATACTTCTCGTACTTTACAATATTGAGTTTTTTTGTTTATTTTAAAAGCAAAGCTTTTTTTAAGTTTTATATACATATAAAATAAATACATTTTTTAAACTAAAATGTGCATTTAATAGGGATGTTACGGAGGTTTTATCGAAACCTAATTTGGAATCGGTATTTTCAAATTTGGTTTGTCGAAACCGGAATCGGATTTTGAACCGGAACCGGAGGCGCAGGCAGAAGCAGGCAGAACCGTAATAGGAATCATAAATGCAAAATCAATTATAGGAAGTTCCGACCTTTCGGAATCGGAATCAAAGCTCCGTAACATCTCTAGTATTTAATACCAAAACAATGAGTAAAAAGTCCATAATTCTGTATTAAAAACTTTTTCGGTAAATTTGTCGTTTGGACAAATACCCATACACAGTTCCAAATCGTCATACACAGTTATCGTGACGTCATATATTTACACAGTATAAGTCTATACATATAATAAAATTGTAACTAAGCTGAATCTGTACATTAAATATTTTTTGGAAAATCTTATTGAAATGAACATTATTATCGATATACAGGCGGAATCTAAAGTTTTTAGAATATTTGTCTGCCTGTCCGCATCACAGAAAAACCTCTGGATTGATTTTGATGAAATATGGTATATATAGCTGGTTATTCGGACAACATATAGGATACTTTTTACCGCAGGAAAATTTCCCATTTGTGAAAAAAATACAAAAACTGCAATGTAAGAGTATACTAATATATAAAACCTAAGAATTTGGTTTTTGGTCACCTGGACGCGGGCAGAGCCGCGGGCAATGCTAGTTATAACATAAGAGAATTTTGAAGACTAATGTGAACATAACGATATAAATAAATTATACTTCATTAAAAGTTTATGGAGTCAATTTATCTTAGAACCAAGTAAAGTTTGAGACTGACATTAATTCTTAAGACATTCGATCATAAAACTGAGTGAAAAATGATTTGACTAAATAACTAGTAATATTGTAATTTGTACGTAATAGTTCATAATAAAATTCATAACAAGATGTGACCATCTTTATGACTTTTCAATTCTTGATTATGAAATTACTTAGTTTTTTTTTGTTTTTGGTCGCATTTAAATATTAATATTCATTATTACAGTGAATGCTACATAATATGCACTTGTATATATAGACAGATTGTCATATAACTAAACTTAAAGCCAAACAATAATGTTTTAAAATAGTATACAAATGACAATTTGTAATGGTGTGTCATCACTGATATGATAAGTAAATAAATGTTAATAAGTAATTAAGTAAAACTTAAAAAGTAATTAAATTAAAATAGCTAACGGATTTCATTATAATAAAGAAACAATTCAAATAAACTACTATTATGCTATCTCTATTTCAAGAGGAAAACAATTAATGCTTAAAATATACAAAAAAAATATTATTATATTATTATTCATATGTTCTTTTGAAAAATTGTAAATTAACGACTAAACCTATATAAAATTTTCCTTATTCTGTAAATAAATTGATCAATTCGGAGGCGAAATCGAGAATAATAGCATAAACAATAAGCTATTTTTGACATTGACATTTTTTGGCGAGTTGTCTTTTTTTATGTATGTTATATATGTGGTTTTAAGGTAGAAAGAAATAAGTTTTCTTACATACATTCTATATTACCAGGTATATGATGTAGCAACAGGCTCATTGTTAAGAAATTTAACAAGTGAAGATCCTCAATTCGTTATATGGGGACTATCAGGTGCTGTAGGTCTGTCTGTCCGTGCATTCAACCAGAAAGGACTAAGCGAACCTTTCACTATCACTACTAGTTTATTGAAATATCCACAAAGACAGACTGGTGAGTATTTATATTGTAAACTGTTAAAATGTGAAGATTTTTTTAAAGTTTTGTTTTGATTTTAATGTTAACAGGTTTTTTTAATGATATTGACCAAAAAAAATATATTTGAGGTCTGGTTCAAGAGTGATCTAATACATTTTTTTAAAATTGGCACGTATTTATTGTATTGTGGATTGAATGAACAAAAAAAAATATACTTCGATATATATTTGTGGCAAGATTTCTATCAAGACCATTTTTAACTAAATCTCTTTGCTTATTTTATATACAATGACAAAACCTAATTAGATTTTAAGTAGTTATGATTTTTTTTTAATTTAATTACACCTGTAGAATAGTCCCATATAATTTAAAAAAAATACTCTTCACTCTTAGGGATTAAAATATTATTTAATAATTGAAAAACTTCTTTAAAATAATCATAAATTTTCATTTCCATAGCAAATATTCCAGTGAAAGTAGAACTGACGACAGTTTTAATAATCGTACTGTGCACTGTTGCGGGTATCGCAGCTATCACTACAGTGTCCGCTATTGTGTTTTGTTTTAAATACTGTAACAGAAGTAATGGTAAGTTTGTCAGTCTGTACGTTTATTTTTTATGAAATCAAAGTTTTATATTTTTTGACATGTCCATTTTGTTGGAATGAATACATAAAAAGATACATATACCTAACCTACCTAGGTATATAGTTTAAATACAACTATATTTTCGGATTCTTTCTCGGATTCTTTTAGGTTTTTGGATCCCGACGCTTAGAATGCTTCATGCAATCATGGTCATGGTAGGAACTGACCATGAAACATCCGACTTAACAGTTTTATTTATAATATACATACCATTTTTATATATAATAATGGTGAAAATATACTTTGGTTAAATTGATATTATTATAAAGGATTACTTACTAAACTTCTTTTAGATACAGACAAGAAAAACAAAAGGAAGCAGGACGAAATATCAAACACACCCCTAACTGGTGGAAAGCGCTCCGAAAGTGTTGACAGTTTGGGTGAGTTTTATAACATTAAGTGAAACGTTTTTATTGGATTTAATCCGTTAAGTTTATTTTCGAACTACTTTTCAACTTAATTGTATGGAAAGTTGAACTTTTTATTTTTCTGTGCAGAACTAAATATTATTTTAAAAAGTTTTAAAATTTATGAAGTTTTAACATAAATTGCAAGAATTCAAATCCAATGTAATAAAGAAAAAAAAAATAATTTCTTAAAACAATCAGTTACAATTTAAGTGACCTTAAAAGTGGCACAACTCTAAAACATTTCTCTAGGAAAATATTAAAATTATTATATCTTCTTAATAATTTTATATTTATATTATTTTTTATTAATCATTTGTTTCCTTTTTCTATACTTTAAAAAGTTTTTTATACCATTTTTGACTGACCTTTAGAGTTCAATCGTTTTTCAGAGAAAAATCCCGACATTATTCCGATCGAAAGCAAAATTAGCGAAAATTATTCGAAAAAAGATTATTGTATGAAACCCTTAATACAAAAAATGGATGACCAATACAAAACAAGTCGGCCAATGTATGGCCAAGGCTTGGCAGTACGCATGCCAAGTATGCAAGGCTTGGGCTTGGCAAGTGATTATGGACATGATAAAGTATATGAAAGTTGGCTGAAATATAATAATTCAATACCATTGAATAGTGGTATGGTAAGTATTTAAAGTATAATAATATTATAAATGCACATAAATGTTTTTGTTTGTTTGTTCTTCGGCCATAAAATACTTTTTGCTTAGAGATATTTTATGAGTCAGATTCTTTTTGCCTTTAAATATAAATAAATAAAAACTGATTTCAAAAAATGACATAAAAATAAAAAAAACTCATTGATAGATAATCAGATATTTTCAAAGTTGGTGCAGTTTGATTTGTATCGGCTGGCAATCAATCATTTATTTTTTACTTTTTAGTGTTTTTTGAAGTCGGTCTTTATTTGATTTTTTTAAGTTTTTATTTTTCCATTTTTAGTATAGACATAAAACAGTAGCAAAATAAGAAGAAAGATTTGTTTTTTTGTATGTTTATTTGTAATGGATAAACTCAAAAGTTACTTAACCGATTTTAAAAATTCTATCTCCTATAGAAAGCTACAATACCGAGTAATGTGTACTGTATTTTATTTTGAGAAAAATTACGACCCTTATTATCCTACGACTGTTAATTTGTGTACTGAAACTTAGTGGGGATATATAAATGTATGTTTGTCAATCTTCATGAAAAAAATGAATAAGCCAATTTTAATTTAAATATATATAATAATTAATAAATAATAGAACTAAGTGGGCTCTGAAAACATTTGTTAAAAATAAAACATCAATCTAACACATTTTAATTATAATATTTTTTTAATTAATTTTCAACTAAATAATAATATTCTAGCTACAAATGGAGCGAACATCAGATATCTATCCAATGTACGGTAATATACCATCTAACATAGAACCGAGTTCGCTCACGCACTGCAGGTCGCCTGTAAACATCGATATGAGAAACAGTAGTGCGCATTTCAGAAATATAAGAGGATGTAGTACACTACCGCATAGGAAAAGTGGTAAGTTATTTCATTATAAGCATTCTTAAATACGTAATATTTATATATTATGTATGTACGTACAATATATTTCTACATATAAGTTAAATTTAAGTGTCTATATTGGATTTTAAAATAGCTTATATTGTATTCAAACCCATTGAAATAGTCGTCCGTCTGTATGTTTATACCAAATTTAACGTGTATATATTATAAAAATAAATATATACATATACCCATGATACGAGTGTGTTTGTACAAACATTTGTGCATCACACAAATTAATGCCCAGTCGGACTCGAACCCGTGACTGCGCGGCTGCGCGACTGCGCGGCTGGCACAACAAACTGAGTCAAACGTGTCGTCAACAAAACTTGTCGTGTATTTAGTAGTTAAAATGTTTTGCTAAAAAACATTTTTTGTTGACAGTATCGTCTCAAGTAGAAGTGAAGCCAATGAAACCTTTGCAAATAACAAGCGATACAACGTATAGATGAGAAACAGATTGTTTAGAAACTAAAATGTGATGTGATTGATATATAAATAAAAAAAAAATGAAGACTTTTAAAATAGGGTATAACTAATATAAAGTCAGTGTTAATTCTAAAATGTGCTCAGTGTAAAAGTAGCCTAACTCGAAATTTTCAAAAATTCTAGTTTTTCCAAATTTTTGTGAGATTAACTAATTTATGTACATTGTTTATATTAGTTTTAAAGTTAGACCACTTTTTCTGACAGCCACTGTACATTAAAACAATAGTTAATTGTCGATTTGTAAAAATTAAAAACTGAATTTTAATATTATATAGATAGATAAAGTTGATTTCATTATGTCTTTATACTATATATACTTATAAAGAAGACATCCAAAAATTATTTAACTTACTTTAGTGAGAGATAAAACGAATATATTACTATTACATGTGAATGTATGTATGTTTTCTATTGTTCAATACATACTTAATAGTGATATCTACAGAATAATAAATTTATTCTCTAAAGAAAAATATTTATTATATTATTTAAAGTATTAACTGTATTTCATTTATTAAAGAGGTATAAATATATTGTTTTAATAAAAAGCATAATGCCACATCCATTATCTGATCATAAATAGACAAAGATCAAGATCATTCGGCCTTTAAAAAAGTCGTTATTTTTTTTCTTGTATGTATTCGATTTTTTTTTTCTTTAAAAAGCATAATGCTATATCCATTATTTAATCAAAAATAGGCAAAATCATAAGATCATTCAGCCTTTAAAAAAATAGTTTTTTTTTCTTTTATGTATTCAATTTTTTTTATATTTATATAGTAAGTATATAATCATAAAATATTTATATTATATTATAATTATATACTTACTATATATATTGCATACAAATAATATACTACTAAAATTGGCAGGGAAAAAGTTTTTATCTAACAAAAGATAAGGAGAATTATTTTGTAATATATTATTTCTATGCTGTTTTATAATTTACTAGTACGAATATTTTTTAATCTATAATTTAAAAAAAATTATGCGATCTCTATAGAGTATTAATATGACAGCTTTTTTTATAAAGTCTTAAGACTGATATTTTAATATAACTGGTACAGTATTGTTTTTAAGGTAAACAAAGAGTTGACAGTGACACATCGACAGTTTTTGTATTTTGCATTGTTTTCTAATTATCAGTAACTGAACTATAATTTTAAAACTTATTGATTTGTATTTACATCGTCATTTTGCTTTAAAATCTCTTTGTTGACCATAATATTCTAGATTATATATATTTTTAAATGTATTTAAGATTGATATGACTGTCAATCAATAAATACAGATTACAAACATACAATGTACATACACTACAAGATTCAAACCCACGACCTGTTATAATCTATATTTTATCTAGATTTATTATAACATTGCTATCTCTTCTTTTAATAATGGTGATCTTTTTTCTCAGATAATTTTAACCAAGTCATTCGTAATTGAGATAAAACTACAAAAATGTAAAAATTAGACATTTAAAACTGTCAAAACTATGACAGTTTAATTTGTTGCCATTTTCATTTGCACTGTCATCTCTTTAGCCGAAATATGTACAATATCGTATTTGATATTGTATACATTATAATTAACATTATTGTAAATATTATTCAATGTATAGATAGAATATAGTAAATGTTATATAGTTAAAATATTCGACCTAGTATTGTAATACGAGCTTCTATTATATACGAAGCAAAAAAGTTTGTTGCCAACACTCATTTAAATGTACAATCAGCAAAAATCTCTTTTGTTTGTTTTTTTTTCTTCAAATTATCATCCCAGTTTTATATATTGCTATTTTTATTCAAACGTGCTGTTATATGAAAATTGTGCCTTTTTATTGGAACCTGTTGATTTAAAGTGAATTTAATTATTAATTGTTAAAGTTACATCACCTTAGGTTTAAAAGTTCAACATATTGTAAATTTTTGAAAAATAAACGTGTTCATATATGTGAAATGTTTTTTTTTTAACCTGTTCCCATATAATACAGAAAACTATGCAGATAAAAAATGGTATTGGAAATGGTACCTAATTAAACTTGTACAGTGTATGTTTTACTAATAAATTTATACACTATATGAATAGGGGATCGGACAGTAATCAGATAAAAATCTACAATATACTTAGATAAATTAAGTACACTGTTTAACGATTATTTATCGAATAATAGTTAAATATAATTCATTTAAATATTTTTAAATGAAGAAATAAAATTTTGTTATTTACAATATTTTAAGTCTGTACTGAAACACCAAAACACAGTGCGTGACGTCATTTGTTGAATTTTGACATTTGACAGCACGTCACAGTATATATAATACATCGTCACGATCTAGGGTATCGCATGTAATTTTCCATATCATTCGGCAGCTGAAACAAGTAAAAATGAATAAAATCTCGTAAATATAACCTCTAACATTAAACAATGTACATTTACTACAAATTAATATTTTTCATTTGTAGTAAGTAACTACTGTACACTTACGTCAAAATGATCTTCACAAAAGTAAATCGGTGAATTTACAGACATTCCGTCGCACTTTTTTCTTGCTAAGACCAACCATTTTTTTCGTATATCTGCTTTTCTTGGCACATCAATCAATATTTTATTTGGAGTAGTTTTTGATGTGTTCGTACATTGAGGTACTTCACACCAACGATATGTTTTTCGTTCCATAACAACAAATAAAGAATATTTTCCACGAAACAAAACTTCTTGCGAACTTATGTTCATACAGTCGTTTTGTTTATGTTCTGAATGACCACAGAACAATAATATTGATGACATTTACAAGTGACGTCACGCGTATAACGTGTCGTTTTGGCGGTATTTTAAAACAACAAAGAACTAACTAACTAACAAACAATATTAAAACATGATTTTGAGTACCTAAAAGGCTATAAATAAATTAAATTTATTTTTTTATGTGAATAAGTATCCATGAAAATTAATTTAAAACACTTTCTGAAAAATTGTCCGATCCCCTATTATAATAACATAGTTATTAAGTCATTTCATTAAATATTAGGGTATCTGAGAACGTTTAAAATTGCTTTAGATTAATATTATTATATTTATATAATATTGAAGATACACATTTAACTGTTTAACATATATAGTAAAAATGATTATATTTCATATATTTCGAATGTTATAAAATTAAAAAGGATACAGAATAAATAATATAAATATTATTATTTTTTTGTGAACTGTACTATTGGAAGTTTTCGAAAGGGAAATGAATAAGGCGACGTCTTTTATCCCATGCTTATCTGCACGACTTATTAAATCCTTTCTACTATCGATATGGCTAGTAGAATATTAGAAAATATATGGGAAGGAGAGTTTCATGTCTTTATAAAACGTTGAATTAGTGATTATGATATTATGTATGTATATCTATTATTTTTCTATTATCTATACATATAATAAAATTGTAACTAAGCCGAATCTGTACATTAAATATTTTTTGGAAAATCTTATTGAAATAGACATTATTATCGATACAGAGGCCTGATCTATAGTTTTAGAATTTTTGTCTGTCTGTCTGTGAACGCATCACGGAAAAACCACTGGAGGGATTTTAATGAAATTTGGTATGATAATAGCTGGTTATCCGGGTCAAATACGATACTTATTACTGCGGGAAAATGTCTTATCTCTTATAAATCTATACTAAACGTTAAAACGTAACTCGTGACGAACCCGAGCGGAACGAGAGTGTAGTGTACCTACTATTTTTTTAAATTCAGGTATAATAGCAATACCTAGACTCTAAAACAGCCAAATTCAGTGCGGTATCAACTAAATATAGCCATATTTATACAAAAATGTATATTTTGTTAAAAGATTACGCATATCTGGATTTTCAACTAAACCTGTGTTTTCTACCGAAATTACTTCTTAGGTAGATAATATATTATTATCTTTTTTGTATATAATAAATTATATATATATATATATATATATATATATATATATATATATATATATATATATATATATATATATATATAATAAATTTTTGTTATACAAACAAACTTTCAAAATAACAAGACTAATACTTTCTTAGATTTATGCGAATATTTGACATTTTAAATAAAACTATCTTTTCGGATTTTTTCGTGAATTTATTTTGATTTTTCGTTCCCGACGTTTCGAATGCTTTACAGGAGAGGCTAAGGTTTTAGACGTCTCAAAGGTATTATATAGTTGTTACAGACAGCCTACCCACAAACAACAAAATGAATCCAAAAAGTTGAAAAATGGCACCAACGTACCTACCTTAAAATATATTTTACTTTAAATATTTTTATAATTTTAATTAGTTTTATAATTGAATAATATGGAATATTATTCATTTCATTTTAGCTGTTATTATAATAATTATTACAATTTTAAAAATATTAATTAGTAATTTAAACTAAACACTAAATATAGATTATCATTTATAAATGATAAATAATGATGATAAATAAGATTCATCATTTCTTTTCAGTAAGCCAATAAAATTTAACTTTAAAAAATTACTGAGAATGTTAAATAATACGTATTAATCGTTATTTTTTACGATCCAATAAAGAAAGATGTGAGGAATAAGAAAAAAAAATACTCTTAATCAAAATGATTGCTTCCATCAATTAGTTGCAGCTGTTTGTATAAAAAAATGAGTGATTCACGTTGCAGTGCAAATATGAATTAGTGTTATTGAACATGTTACTGCTTTGAAATGTTTATTTTGTATTTTAACTACCTTTTACAAGTAGGTTGGTAATTTTTTAAGTTAAAATATTATAGGTATTCTTGTCCGACTATAAAAAAAGGAGATAAGTATTAATTCGAATGTAGATAGATACTTTTGTGTGTTACGCCGCGAATCTTAAGATATCTATATATAAATAAAAAAAGTATGTTTCTTTATAGTATGTTTAACCTCTATGCTTCTTTCTCCTA